CCCAACAACAGCGTCCCCTGCCATCCCACCATTTGCCAATTCCATCAAAGCCCCCTGGGCTGGCCTCAGTAAATGCACATAGTGAAACCTTTCCTGGTAAGGTCACTTCTGTCTGAATCTTTCCCTACTGTGTCCACTGACAGTCTGCAAGCAAGGTGCGAAAACTGTACCGAGCAAATGTTTCCTGGCTAATAGAGTCAGGTATTAGGCAAACAAGGCTAATGTGCTGCTAGGCTAAGAACTGCTTCTTGGAGTAAAGTGAACTCTGAGGGTGCTTAGTTTCTGTTTTCCTATCTCTGCTTTTTATCTCAGGACTTTATCTTTTTCAATCTCAGTGTTTTTCCTCTTGTATGCTTGAACTCCTAACTCTTAAGACGTCAGTAACTTAATTCAGTCTGGGTTTTCAGTTTTTGTATCTTGTGTGGCTTTAGCTTGCATATTTTTCACAGGAGTAATTTTGCCAACACATTTAAGTTCATACACTCGTGCTGTGCCAAAACAGTCATTGAATCACTGATGGTTGAATCTCTGGATCATTGACTCCTAGTGCTGGTAAGGACCTGTGGGGCCAGCTGCATTCTTTGTGATACCAATACTAAATTGTTCTTTAACACTGAGTGGCAGCTCCACTAGTTTCCCAGCAAATTTCTAGTGCTTCGCTACATTACCTTTTAAAAGATTTTTCTGCAGTCATGCTTAACTATCTCCTGCTTTTGTTCAAAGCTATTACTTCTTGATCTCTTTGCTTCAAGAACAGATGATTTGCTTGCTTGCTGTACTGCTATGCATACAGGCTGCCAAGGGCACAATTAACCCCTCAAAGAAATCTTTTGAGGTATTTCTGTAAGCTCTTTTTTCCATAAACTTGTCAGTAGGATTTTGTTTTATAAGATGGGCCCTAAGTTGCAAGGCATTCAGCATTGATTTTAGTTTCTTATGAAAGCTACAGAATGGCTTTTGCTCAGCTAGTAACTATCTTCTTTAGTCAGGAGCTCAGTTTCCCATCTGCACCATGATCTGGGAACAAGCTGGGCATGGGCAACAGACTACAGGATTAAGGGCTCTTCTGAGGTATGAGCAACACTATAAGCACCTCTGGTCTAAGTTTCAGCAGACTTTGTCATAGAACAACCTTTTATGTGCCTAGAAAAATGAAGTTAGCTTTACGTGAATATATTTAACCCTTCCCTAGATGAAAATAACTTGTGGTTAGAGGATATTGAACCAACCACTGAATGCAGATGGTTACTCCAGAATTTTCACCAAAGTCTCTTATACCAGGAAATGAGAAAGACCTTGATTCTGATGAAACCTCACAAACTTGAGCAGAGAGTAATTTGTGAACTTTTGAAGGTAGAAGTCTGAACTGTTTGACCAAAACATTTTGAGATTTTATTTTTGCAGGTTGGTTGGCTTATTGTTTTGGCTATTTTTTTGGCTCTTTTTTTTTTTTTTTTTTTTTTTTTTTTTTTTTTTTTTGGGTCCTACAATTGCACCCCATGAATCACTTCAAAGGAAATACAATACCAAGAGCTGGGGAGACCATGGGTGTGACATAGGTAAGGTTTTTGCATACTGGCACAAAATTGGTACATCTTTGTGTATTGATGTGGAGTTGTTGCATGCTGACAGTAGAGTTCCAGGAACACTGGAAGGAACAGATAGAATTCACAACATTGCCAGGGAAGGGAAACAAATATTTGAATGACCATAGGATAAAATATTTCCATCGCAGACTTAAGTTAGCTGTTGGTGCAGATAACTGGTTTTCAGCACCTTCTTTGATCAGCTTAGCTTCAGTGAAACAGTTTCCTTCATTAAAAACTGTTCCTGATTCTCCAGAGACTTTTCAAGCTGTTCTCAGGGAGCTGCTGCTTGACTAGACCACGCAAAGCTGTTCCTTGTTTTCAAGCAAAATCTGTTTCAAAGTGCCTTCTGCCATCTGAATGTCCCCTCTCTGTGCTCCCCAGTCAGCAGATTTATTGTACTATAATTCTGCTAAAAAGGAATAACTTGCAATAAAGGAAAACCTGTGCTAGTAGTAGAAGATATCTGATTAATTGGAACTATAAGAAGCTGTTATAGGTACTTAAAGTAAATTGCTACAGTAAGTTGCATGTTTTGCTCTACTGAGTGGGAGGTGTCTCAGAATGAAGCTGTGCATCTTGTTGCTACAGCTAGGAACTGCCGAAGCCAGATAAAAGGAGCTCACAGTAATATCTGGTACAAGATAAGACACATCCACAGAGAACAAGCCACTTGTCTGCTTTTTGATTTTTCCAAATGGTAGGTCAAATTCTTATATTGTCATTTAACCAGAAATAATAGAAGTATTTGATATGAAAGTTTATTTCAGTTCAAATAGTGTTACGCCTAACATAAAAATTTACCTTGTAGTGAAGTGTATTTAGAAATGGATTTTGCCATCAATTTCCTGGTATATATTTTTACTAATTTGACTAATTAGTAAAAATCTTCACTCCACAATTGATTTTTCAGAGTTTAGCATATTTATGTATTTTTTGTTTAAAAATATTTTTTAAGAATAATGCATGTGTCAATTCTAGAAGTGCTATGCTTTAATGCTGAAATTCCTAAATTTTACACTTACACCTGTAACTAGTGTAATTGTTAACTCTTGTGAATGCTAGTTTTGGAAAGTTCAGTTTTGCTGTTTCAATTTTAATAGGACATTTTCAGTCAGAGTGGATTTTCTGGTTTGACAGAAGAATGAAAATCACTTTCAAAAGGTGTATGGATGTATATATCTGTAAAAAAAAAAATCCAAAAAATTGCTCTTTCATGGTATGTTTACATTGTAAAGTCTGTTAAGTTTTTTGGGTAGAAATTGCAATACTGTTTCCAGGTTTTGTTAGTATGCTAGGTAATTTTGTCACTCATATAGACAGTATTATAAACATTTTGCTGGAAAATAGAATTTTGGAAAGAAAAACAGAAATATGTTTCTAACACAGTTGCCTTCAGAGAAGTAAGGAGTTAAGCCCCAAGGACCACTGTTTCTGCAATATACACAGTGGGTTTCCCCTTCTCTCACCTTCCTTTGGTAGTGGGTCATTAGGAATTAGGCTTTGACCTACTCAGATAATTGTCCCAAATTTTGGATCTAGTGCATTTTCAGCACCACACTGAAGTTTTTGTTTACAGAGCTTAGGCTTACACTCCTACCATGCGTAGCTATATGAAGGAGCTGTAAGGCACTGCAGAACCAGCCCTTCTCTTGGTGTTTTCTGTCTATACCTGCAACCTCTGTTTGAGTTCATATTGAGGTAGTTTGGTGTTTACTGCTGACTTCAGAAAATTGAAACAGAACCATGTTGCTTCTTTAATTGCGTGAGCTCTTTGAATTTTCAGGGAACATTACTCTTTTATTATAGCCCTCTATATTATACATATTCACACAGATACCACCCATACCCTACTTGAACTGCTTCTGATACACAGCAACTTAAAAATGGAGGGAAATTCAATAAAGAAATCATCAGATTTGGTGGGAAGCAGCTTAAATATTCTGCATTTTTTTAGTGCAGGCTGGTAGCCCAGTATGTGCAAGGTCTGTCAAAGATATTTTTTCAGTAAACAGAAGGCTAACTGCAACAACTGGCAAGTATGGAGATAGGAAATTATGAATTTCTTACTCCTGAATAATTCTGGCACTTGTTAGAAAAGTTGGTGAGAGCAAGTAATTGGCTGTCTCCCTTCCTGGACAAAGCTGTATCTTAAAAATGGTGAAAGCACATCTCCTTGCTACTTTCTGGTAATCAGCAGCATTCCATTTCTAGGGCTGCAATAGTACTGGCAATAAGGGACTTGCCAGAGTCTCCAACAGTGGTATTACTTGTGGCTAAATTCCTAATAAACTCCTACAAATAAAATATCAAATGAGAAAAAAACCCTCATTTTAGAAAGACTCCAGACTTAGTCTATGAAATTATTTTTCTTTAAAAATCAATCAGCGTATTTTTTTTCATCTTGCTGAGGTATCACTCACTTGAACAAGATAGCTGTAAAAAATAAAAGGACAGTTAATATAACTGCTGGCAGACCTTGTCAGGGGCAAATAAGTTGCTGGAACAAAACGAAAGACTTTGGTAATAAAAAGCCTCGCAGTAGAGAAGGTATATTCTGGATATTTTTGCTCCCTGGTAGTGTTAGAAATTTTTCTAGGAACAAGCTTCATGCTCTAAATGATTAACAAAGCTGAATGCTTTGCTGTGCTGATGTTGTGAATTTCATTTTGCCATTCTGTGACATGTCTTTTTCTCCTAAGGGTCTGTCCAGTCCCAGGTCACTCATGAACCCTGTTCTGGACCGCCTTGTTCATTCCTTCCAGGGCAAAGCTCTTGATGTTAGTGTTGAAAGGAACCCTCTAAAAATCTGTTCAGTTGGCCTAAGGTTTCTTTAAAATTAAAGAAGTCAATAGATTTGCACTTACATGTGGTGCTTTTCTCCAGCAATAATGAAAGCAAGTAGATTCTCACACATAATATTTCTCCTGACTGGTCACTCACTTCCTGTAAAAGGCATGGCATCAGTTTTGCTGCGACATTAATGCTGAGATGCTGCATTTTTTGGTCTAAACCTCATCTTTCCTGTGATTTGTGAATATCCCTGCAATGAAATGTGAATATACCTACAAGGAAATTCTCACACTTTTCTCTTCTAACACTGTTTTGTTATTGTTTTTTCAAGGGTTAAGAATAACCCTCTGGATATTATTAAACTTTCTAAAAGAAGAAACTTTCCATATCAATACAAAGCTGATAATAGTTCTGAAAGCTCAAAACTGAGTTTGCTCTGATTTTCAGACTTGGCAAAAACATAGAGCTTGATAACTCTTGTCAATGTTTATTTAGTCTGGAAGTTTTTGGCACTGAAATAAAAATTCCTTGCAGTAAGTGTGACGACAGTACTTAACATATCTTGCCTGTTTTTACTACTCCCCTTGTGCTCACTATCTTCAAGATAAATTATATTTCCTTTCTGACTTATTTTCTCTTGAAAACAACTTGTCTTTTGTCTGTAGGAGTCTGTGACTGCTACTTACTCATACACAACAATAGAACCCACTGCTCTGTGATCTGCAGTGAAGAACTGCATTCAAGGCTTTGTCATGGTAAGTAGGATGCATACAGCAACGTAGTGTAGCTGGATTGCTTGCCTGCTGTCTCCTGAGATATTCCTGGATTAGGTCAGTTTAATGCCCATGATCAGATGGTCAGTTTTTTTAAATACAGGGGTTTGCTGGAGAGTTCTTGAGCCACACCATGTGGTATGAATTATAGCTGGTGCTTATCAGGCACAAGTAAAAACATCAGTGGGATACATGACCTGCCCTGCTGTTGTTAGCTAAGTACAGTATTATGCTCCTTTACCTACCTTTCCAGTCCATTTCTTCAGCTCTCCTTCAGCTTAGTATTGTTTATGACACTCACCTGGTTTTGATCTTACTGCCTAACCCTTACGTAGAGAAGCTGTCACTGAAGATAACTCCTCTTTCATAAAAATACATGTAAAAAGTATTTTGCATCTAAGCAATTGATTGGATGTAACCTTAATTCAAAACCAGGGTGTACATTTTCAAACCCAGGATCTGTCCTTTTCCAAGCTGGGGAACAGTTTCTTTGCACTTGACTGTGAAGAGAATGCCAATGTACATTTATCTTCCTTAAAAAAAAAAACAAACAAGCAAGTTGAAAGAGGCTTCTGCCTGAGGAGCATCATGAGAGAGTAATTCACTGACTCCCACTAAACTAAGTCATAACTGTAGTTTCAATGATAATAGAACAAATAACATCACCTCAAAGCTGCAAAACTGCTGCTATGTACACACACTTTACAGAACAGCTCACATGATAAAGTTTATCACTGCATGATAACATTTTGTTCAATTTTCTGATGTACAATGCTACATTGCTGATTCAGTCAGAGTCTATTCTAAGATATCGATGTTTTTCTTCTTAGTTTAGAAATATGATGGGGCATATAGATTTGATCCTCCTGTCTACCTTCCTCTCGGTTTCCATGACATCTGAAACATGTAAGTCGTGTTTTAAAAATGCTTTCAGATAAGGTTTGTTCTGTACAAATCTGTAGGCTGTTTCCAAATTGGTGGTTTTATTTTTAAGCCTAAAGATAGTGAGTTCACCTCAAGCCAGAAATCACAACTTAAAATCTAGATTTTAATGTATATTAAAATGCACCAAAAACTATCTATTTCTATGGCAGCAAGCCTAGGTTCAACTTCTGCCACTTGGCACCTCTGCAAGCAGAAAGAAAAGGGTCTTGAAAGAATTTGAGAGTAGCTGGTGCTCCAGGTCCCAGCTGGGCACAAACTCCAAGATCATGCTTTAATTGCACTGAGCAGCGCTTATGCATATGCACCCTGCTGAATCAGGGGTGTAAATGGGTGTTGTCCTCCATAGAAATGCTCTTCAATGTCCTGAATTTGGGGGTGTAACAATAATTTTTCCCTGCACAGGGGGAATGTCCAGAGCAGTAAACTATTTCTGATAGGCCAGCTCTACTGACTCAGCCATACAATGCTGAGCAGTGACACAGTGTTGCACAGCACTCACGTACTTCTATTCTCGAGCTAAGATGCTCATTTGTCTGAAAAATTCTCTAAGATATGATCTCTAAATATTTCTCCATATTCTCAATTTTACAATAAGAATGCTAAAGTTCAAGCAAATTAGATTTATTAAGATGCCAAATTCTGCTGAAGAATTTGCTGAGATGATTTTCACGGATGTCATTGAATTTAGATGAGGCTTTTCTTTTTCAATGTCTTCTCTCTCCATACTATTTTTCATCAAAGAAATCTGTATTTCCAATGTGTTCCATCTTTGATGGAGCAATGTTGCCTTTTCTGACTGCCCTGATATGTCCCAGTGTCTTTGCAAGGCTTGTGTGCAGGAAAACTGTTAAATAATGTGATTGGGGTTACTCATACTTATACTTGGCTAATTTAGGAGCCCCAAATTAATAAGCAAGATGACAATATCAGTGGAGATTGACCACTTCTGTGGAAAGAACCAGGGCAGAAGAAGTGTTCAGCATGTAGAGGCTCTCAACTCCTGATTTGTACACCTACATGTCTAAAGCCACCGCTGGGAAGTGTAATTTTTGATAGGCACTATCTGTTTTGGTTAGCTGTTTGGTTATCTACTCTAATTTTCACACTCCCTTACCTACTGCAGCTCCTCTGCCAATCTATCTCAATCAGTTTCATTTATCTGTGTTAAAAAGGCATGAAAAAAGCACTCTTTGCTCTGTCACCACCCCTGCTCATACTCCCGTCTTTTTCTTCTCAGAATGCAATTTAACTTTCAGATTAATGTTTGTTTTCAGTGGCCAGTACAATATTCAGGTACCTGAAAACTTAAGTATTTGTCAAAGTTGCTTGATTCTAGTTTCTCTGGGCCAATTTCAGTACTCAAAAGTAGAAGTATACGCAGCTAAAAAAAAAAAAATTAAAAGTTTAGTGTCTTACTCCCAGATTTTCTTATGTGTAAGCGTATGTAGTTTATTTTTCTAAGCTTCTTATTTGTTTTAGTTGTTTCTGTATCTTTTCACCTTCCCACTTTCTCATCACATTCTTCCTTTCAGGCTATCACATTGCTTTCATTTTTCCCCACCCCATTTTCATGAACTTCAGAGATAAGCTGGTTTTTTGTGGTTTTATTATATTTTATATTTCCTAAGGATCTAATCTACAGACTTTCTTCTTCTGTGATTTTTTCTTCCAAAAAAAAAATCAATTTCATTTCTCTGTATTAAAAAGGCAGGAAAAAAGCACTTACCTATTGCATAAATAAATATTCATTATACTGAAGTAAGGAAAGATAACTACATTAAAGCCAGCAGTTTTCTTTGTTTTAATTAATTTTTTGATTAAAAGCAGTATTTTAGGCAAAGATTTACATAATAAGATCATTGTAAGAAATCACTATTTTTCAATTAAGTTCTCTTGTTTTTTACTGTATGCCCACTTAGAACCTCGAGATTTATTTATTTGTTTGTTTGTTTGTTTATTTGTACATCCCACATTAGTTACTGTTTTTGTTAACAAATTGCTTAATAACTCAAGGTAAACAAAATCTTTATTGAAAAACAGTCTAGTGAAAATAAGCTTGCTATGTTTCATCTTGGGGCCTACCGATCTCTCTCAGAATGCCAAGTTCTCGATCTCAGAAGACAAAATTTTAATTTATCTGAGATTTTAATCTTTTGTTCTTTTGCAGTTGATTCTGTGGAAGGTGAGGCTTTAGTTATAAAATGTCCCAAGGGGAATTCACCTGTGAAAATCACCTGGCATCACACGGATACTCTCAAAATAATTCCTGCAGAAGAGGAAGGATCACGAGTATTTTCCGTAGAAAAATTTCTTTGGTTTCTGCCAACTTCTAGAGAGGATTCTGGAAACTACACTTGTGTAACACATTTGTAAGTGCCACATGGAAAATGGAAGGTGTAAGACTGGCAAGAATATATATTTTGATAATATATTCTAATTTTAATTTTTGGACATGATGACTTTTTTCCATAAGTTTTCACCCTGCAATTGCTATTTTTATGGCAGATCATTAAAACCAAGCTACAACTGAAATATAATAATCATCCACATGTTTATAGAATGACACACATTAGTTATAAGCATTGCTATATTCCATGTAAGAGTACAATTACTGACTGACATACCTTATTCCATTTTTAAAGTTCAAGTAATCGCACAAAGTCATACAACGTGAGTGTGCAAGTGCATTCATACAAGCCAGGAGAATGTTTCCCAAGTCCGATTCGTTACCCAAATGACACTGGAAGAGGAAAAATTGTTTGTCCTACCATTGATAACTATAAGAATGCTACTATTGTCCAGTGGTATAAGGTAAATAAAACCCTGATAGTGCCAGTGTAGGTCAGAATACTGAAAAGCTCTTTGCAACCAAACACATTTTTCTTTTCCAGGACTGCAAACCTCTTCAGGGACAGAGATACTTCAAAAAAGAGAAATATATTTATATTGAGAATCCAAGAAGGGAGGATGATGGTTATTATACTTGTCACTTTATTTATACCCATAAAGGAAATGTGTTTAATGTATCAGCAACAAGAATTTTCATAAGTGGGGGTAAGACAGTAATTCTGTATCTTGCTAAGATTAGAAGACTAATGTCAACTTAGAGCAAAGGAAACTCCTTTTGTACATTAAAAAGAGAAAGTGTTTTGGTTGGTTTGTTTTATCATAGTTAAGATTTACATCAGCTTTATTAGATTAATTTTGTGGATGGTCACCCACATAGAGCAAGATGGGGTAGTCTGCTCTGGTCTCATTCAGTTTTTTGTTTAAAAGATTCTGATGACTCTGGTTAGGTGCTGTGGTTGTTAGAGTTCTCTGGTAGCACATTTCCAAAATGAAGGATCTCCTCAGTGGAATGCCACAATGCTCTGCTTTCTATTTCTTGAGTGCAGCAAAATCTGTGGCTAGTGAGGATTGTCTGGTGATCACTAGATCAGTCATGTGTTGATGGCCTACAGCTTAATGCCTCTTGGTCCATCTCAGCCATCTAACATTCATTTGATAGCAGGACTGAAAAAACTTTTAAATTCGTCTTGAATGAGACGAAATGAAGAATATATATATATACATATATATATACATATATATATATATATACACACATACATATAAATAGAAAATGTATGGATCTCAGGGATTACTATGTGTCTGTGATTTTGAACATAGCCAATATGACTGAGATGTGTGGCCTTTGGGTTGCCTCTAGGATACATTCTCCTCAAGGAGGCTTTGCATTTGGATGGTGTTCAGGAAACGACACACAGAAATTTACAGTTTCAGATTGCATCAACTTGCAAAACTTCAAAATGCAACTTCATTTCTGCTATCAGATCAGTAGAAAAATAGTCAGAAAGACCTTTTCTTGGGGGGTGGTGGAGGTCTTGAGTTTGGCTCATGTGGTTGTTTTGTTGCTGTTTAGTTAGTTTGTTTGGTTTTTTTAAAAGCATCCATCTGCAGAGTGAATATCAGGCCTTTTTTCTCTGGGGAGGTCCGTATCTTGTGGGAAGAATGCAGGAGCCCTGGATGCAGCTTTTGCTCATGTGCCCAGATCTCAGTAGCAGAGCTCATTCTGATTATTCTGAGCAGGACAGATTGAGCAGAGACCTAGTTCAGCAGCTGGGAAATGTACTTTTCCTCCTTTTCTACCTGTTGCTCGACATGATCATACTTTCCATGATACTTCTCTGCCTAACAATTTTTGTTTGAATGTACTTCCTGGGTTACAACAAAAATTTCTGGGTTTTATTTGGCCCAAGGCATTCAAATTTACAAAGCCTTTGTTACATCCAGACAGATCTTGAAGTTCATCTAACTTCCTTTTAAAATCATTGCAGAAAGAAAACATCACAACATAACTGTGAAATCTGGGCCGGGTCTGGCATGTCTGCTCTAGGTTTTGCTAAATTCCAAGTACCTAATGTCAACTTTGAGTTTTTATCAGACCTTAAAATTAGTATGCTGATAACTGGAGCTATTCTGTTTTGTTAGTATTAGAGAGTTATGATATATATTCCTGTTGCTTTGCAGATCCATACTGATCCAGAGGAGTTTCTGCCTCTGACTGCTGGCAGCTAAGAACTTAGCAAGTCAGATAGCTGGGAAGCTACTGGCTTTCTTCTGACTTCTATTTTATCATATCCAGTCAGCCTGGGAAACAGGAACCGAAATGTGTTCCTAGAGCATTTTTTGGGAAATACATGTTTCACAGAGGTGCCTTGAGATGGAAAAACCTAATGAAGAAAGGGTTAGAAAGCAATATATTTGGAGTTCAGATACTGCATAAAAGTATATATTAGCTATTTAATATAATTTATATGAGTAATTTCTCAAATGTCCCTGAATAAAACCCCAGAACAGTGGAGAAATTATAAGCCTATAACAGCATTAGCTTTTTCCCCCCACTCAGCAGCTAAAACAGTACTTCACAACCTATTTTTTTTCCTTACTTTCTATGTACAAAGGTAAAAATTAAATAGATGGGGAGAAAATACTGAAACTATTAACATATACATACTCCTCAGAGATATTTGGTTGTACGAATAAAACCAGATGAACCCAACAGGTATGTGAAACACTTAGTTTGCAATTCTCTTTTGTGATCATAAAATATTAATTGTACAGATTACAAGCCTTATATTACAAAATGCATTTCCACAGCTTGTTAATGCATGCTTTCTTTTCCTCTTTGATTTCTAAAGTGAAATACGCACCTCTACCACCTCAAATCATATTTCCAAAGAATAACGATGTAGTAGAGACAGAGCTTGGTGAGTACAAATTTTAATTTGTTTTTAAATTAACATTTTGTAATGGTACACTAAACATGGTTATTTTCAAGAATATGTAATGGTGAAACTTTTTGTCACAGTTTTGCACACTTTACCAGATTTAGTTGACTGACTTTCACATTCTTTTATTCCTCTTTCCTCAGTTGTTCAGAAATTAGATGCTCAAGGACAAGCCTCCTCTAGTAAGATGGTCAGTGACTAGTGCACTGTGGGCTCTGCCTATCACTGTGGCAGTGTTACACAGAGAAAATTCACTTTACATCTGAAAACCAATTGCTGTACTGGTTCTATTGTCTCTTGTTTGCAAAAATGAAGGGATTTCTCCATGCTCCCTAATATCAAGTCGTGATCTAACCATAAGATTTAATAATCTTATTTAAGACCTGCTTAGATTCAGACTTACATGGAAACAATTTAACATGTTTAAATGATACTTTCTTTCAGTGCAGTGTTGACCCCTACTTTGGATTAAATATTTCCTAATGGGAAATATGTAATAAAAATAATTTCCTGTTTTAGTTTTGCTTGGACTGGCTTACTTTACTTTTGTCCAGTTTGAATAAAATCCGGGGATAAGTCTGCACACAAATCTTATGCAAAATAATATATACTGAAATTTAATTAGACTATTTCTGTGTAAATTTGTGTGTCAACCATCATATCCATTATATGTTCTTCACTAGCTGATTATACGTGTTAAGCATCACAAGTAAAGGGTACATTGCCTCCATCATAACAAATATAAATAATTCCTTTTGTAATCCTTGGTGTGTTATTAGATTGTTTGCTGAAAATTTCCCGTTAATAATTCTTTTTGTCTCTTCTATGTATCAGTTTGTCAGCAGTAGTTCAGAAATATATGTCAAAATTGTGATGAAACTCACAAGTTGTATGAAGATTTGTAGAGAAAGATGTTATGAGTAGAATACAATTTTGTTTTTTATCAAGGAATTTTTACATCTCTGTATCTTGATTAGGTGCTTCTCTGTCTCTGAGATGTCAGGCTCGGCTGGGGATTAAGAAACAGCCACTGGCTGCTGTCAGATGGGATGTGGATAACATCCCAGTGGAAAACCTTGTTTTTTCAAGATTTCATGAAGAAACTCATTTGTAAGTGGATATAACATAGAATAATCTTTCTTCTATGCAAACTGTGCCTAGGCATTAAAACCAACGGTAACATCTCTTTCTCTTTCTATTAGTTTTGATGGACATGAGCAAGTATACTATGAAGAGAGCATTTTGAATATTACTGAAGTAAAAAAGGAAGATCTGCAGTCAAATTTCACATGTATAGCATTGAACACAATGTACAACACAAGAGTCACGGTGACATTACAACTCAAAGTGCAAGCTAAGGGTAGGATTTTTTCATTTTGATTCTTTATGATTTGCACTTACCTTGAAATATGTTGGTGAGTTTATTTTATTATTTGTTTCAGATAGTAAAAGAGTTTCAGTTAATAAGAAGCAAAACCAGCCAGCTTCTTCCCTACATGTTCCAGCCAGTTGTAAAATTCTTGTGGCCGAGTCCTTGTCCTTGGGCCTGGGGAAAGAGGGGGACATTATTCAAACAGTGTCAGCAAGAGTTGAAATACAGAGTCTGTCTGTTTCAGCTCTGTGACAAGAATATCCTATTTCTAAGGTATTTTTCCACTGTGACAAATCAAACCAAACTATTTTCTCTAGACAATAGTTTTCTGTGGCAGAAAACAGGCAAACTTTAAATACAAGTGTTTGAGCTGCCCAGATCTCTGCCTTCACTGTATGTAAGTGCATCCACCTTAGATGCCAGTGAATATAGAAAAAATCTGATGCTCTTCTGGAGTTGGTCTGGAACTCATTTAAAAGTTGCTTTCTGACATGTTTACTTTAAATACAAGTGTTTGAGCTGCTGGTTTGCCAGTTAGTTTGCCTTCCTTACTCTACTGCATCAACTGTAATGCTCTTTTTGGACTGAATGTTGCGTGAATCACCTCTGCAAAATCACTCTTTATCTTCTCTGAGTGTCACTATGTTCCCTCTGTGCCACACAGAGGTGTGAGTAGCTATCAGAGGCTATGCCTCGGCTTTGTTTTAAAATTCCTGGTTCTAGTAGTACTTGAAAGAGAAGGAAAATCCAGGACAGTAAATGATGGGGATAGGGATAATCCTTAGCTTATAGAGGATTTTTTTTTTTTTTTAATAGGGATATTCAGATCCCTAAGCACTATTGCCAACACCTCTGAATCAGATTCCTATGGCAGAAAATGCTATTTTGTCTGTGAAGGCTCAAGAAACAGCTGTGATCAATTGTATCCTTTTTCATCCCTTCAGATATGCTAAACCATGAAGAATCATGGCATCATAGAATGGTTTGGGTTGGAAGGAACCTTAAAGATCATTTAGTTCCAAACTCTCTGCCAAGGGCAGGAACACCTTTCAGTAGACTAAGTTGCTCAGAGCTCCATCCAACTTGGCCTTGAACACTTACAGGGATGGGGCATCCACAGCTTCTCTGAGCAACATGTTCCAGTGCCTCACCACCCCCACAGGAAAGAATTTCTTCCTAATATGTAATCTAAACCTACTCTCTTTTCTCAAGGACTTTGAAAGTAAATGTCAAGATCTTTAACAGGGATTAGTTTTCTATAAAAGAGTGGTGGGAAGAGTAAAATCAAGTGTACTGTGATCACAGGGTTTGCACAGACCCATGTCCTGCTGTATTCTCGACTGCTCATGACTTTCCACAGGATCATGGATTCAAAACCTAGACAAATTTCCTTGCTGCAGCCTAGACTAGAAGAGATGTAGGAGAATTGTAACAGCAGAATAGCACTCAGCAGGAAGATGGCAGGAGATGTTTTGGTTGGATAGGTGAGTTTGAGTGCAGCTTCACTCAGGAAGCTGAAAGCACACCAGTTCTGCGCTGAACTACCTGAGTGTGGGAGTGTGCTTGGAATTAGAGGGAAGGAAACTGACCTACAGTTTCTGCTCACTAGTTTATTAATGCAAGTCCCTTGTTGACCCCATATTACAGACTAGATGAAGGAGAACATATAGCATATCCTGTATTCATCCCATGAGTCATTGAGCCTCATTTCTGTTATGGACAAATCTTGTTTTTTATTCATAGGTCTTCAGTAAATGATCATGAAAGCTCTTGGCTATGACCCTGCTTTCACTGCTACCTTTTTTATGATCTTGTCCTTCTTGCTGCTGTTGAAAAGGTGTCTGCCTCTGCTCCTCAGCACTGTTGGTGTCAGCAATGCTATGTCCAGAAGCGGCTGTGCTCTGCTTTAGTCTTCTTCACTCTGTCCTCACACAGCTCAGCAACATTTATGCTAAAGCAATGCCTCTTTATCATGGTTTGACGCTGGTGCAATGCCAATGCCCCCATGAAAATGCACCTTCCCAGATAAATGCTGTGAGATGAGATCCGGAACAAAGCAGAGCAGGTCCAAACTTAATAACAAAGGGAAAGAAAACTTTAGTAAACTACTACTATGATAAAGGGGAAAAAAAAGAAAAAACACACACTAAATCCAAAATGAAAACCTTCCAAAACAATCCTCCTCCCCCCCCCCCAACTCCAAAAATCCACAGTGAAACACAATTTGGACCCTTAATCAAGTTATCACCCTTCAATATAATCATACTCAGTCCATCAAGGGACAGAGGAGTCTCCCTTGCACCATAGACCCCCAGGAAACACAATTGTCACTTCTTGTGTTTCCATGTCACACATGGCACCCATGGCACCGGCCAGAGAAAATCTGCCAGTGTGACATTCTCCTCTCCATGTCACAGTGCTCTCACCACTGTGCATGGACAGACTGCTCATAGGGCTCCTTTAAGGATGCTTTGCCAAGGGCCAGCAGGAACAACAGTTTCTCATTTTGGGACCACAGTCCCCACCATTTTCTTCCTCCCCTGGGGCTGAGGGTGAAAACAGAGATCTTAATTTTCCTGAAGACAGAGGTCATCATCACACCCTCCTCAACTTTCCTCTGTTCATTCCTGCACTGGTAGTTTCTGAAGCAGGTCACTTGGCTCACCATGCATCCTCCTAAAATATAGTCTCTCTCTTGGAGGAGAAATTGGTTCAGTCTATGGCTAGCAAGAAAAGTCCAGCCAAAAGCCACTCCATCATCTCCCCCCAACCTTCTTTCCCTAACATCCCAGGTCCCAGGCTGTCTCTCTTTCCTTCAAATTGAGGAGGAGTAATATTTCACAAAGCCTTCATTTCCCAGGAAAGAGCTAAAAGTTCTGGACTCCCCTGACAGCTGAAATCTTGGCCCAGAACTCCATCTCTCATGCTGGGCACCTTCCACCCCCCTTCTCCTCTGCCAGCAAACTTCCAGGTGTCTGCAGGCTCTCTGTTTCTTTCCCTCTAGGTTGGCAGGGGGGGGAATAAAGACATCTCAGACGTTCTCCACCCTTTCATCCGCAGGAGCTGGCCCAGCTTTGTTCCAGACCCTTCACCCCTGCCTACCTCTGCAGGCCACATGTCTTCCTCTCCCCTGCCCAGCCCGGGGCTGAGCAGGGGAGAGTCTGCTCCCTTCGATGACCAGAACCAAAGAGACAGTTCTCCTGGGAGTTCTTGCTTTTAACCCCCTGTGTTCTCAGAGGCGTGTCCAGCCTTCAGTGGTCACTCCAGGTACCAATATCCAAATGTGACCACTGATTGGTTTGACAACCAGCTTCCTGAGAAAATTCCCTTCTGTCTCAAACCACGACACTCACTCTTGTTTCTCAGAATAATAAAAATGCTATAGGATTCACTTGTGCCTCTCATCTTGTAAATGTGTAATAAAGATGTGCACACTTTTTTTTTTGTTTTGTTTGTATGTTTGTATTTAATAGGAAAAAGATTCTAAATATATGATTGCTCCTTAGTGTTTCTCACAGCACACTATCCTGTTAATGTTTTGGTTTTTTTTTTTTTATTTTACATAGTCATTCAAAGCAGAGATAAAGTTCAGCCCAAAGAATCATCTCTGTTCTTCCTCAAAGATGTTTAATGCCAAAGCTAACCTTTTGGCTCATCTTTTGTAGACTAATGTGGACAGGAACTCTAGACCCAGATCTCTGCCTTCACTGTATGTAAGTGCATCCACCTTAGATGCCAGAGAATATAGAAAAAATCTGATGCTCTTCTGGAGTTGGTCTGGAACTCCTTTAAAAGTTGCTTTCTGACATGTTTTCTCTGGCCTTTCCAATATTAGTCCTTGTGAGCTGATAGTTCTGTATTCCCATTGCTCTTGAATATAAATAGAACATGTCTTACTCATGAACTCAGCTGCTAAATGATGCTGTGAAGTCAAAGGGGCTTGTGGCACTTGCCCCTACTGTGCTGAATGTTTACTAGTCAATTAAATTAGTGAATGTTCATTAGTTAATTCCAGAGAATGAAGAGGCTAAGCCAGCATTACTGGGAATTGAAGCCGCTCTTCCAGGAAGACACCTCTGTGGGGGTCTAGTCTGACACATTTCAAACTGCATGAGGACAACACTTCCTTTCCAGCCTTGGTCGAATCAGTGCAAATATACCCAGCGTTTTTTAGGTTCAAAATTGCAAAAGTTGATACTTGAACCTATTTTTTCTCTAGATGTTTATAGAGACTTAATGCAAAGCACCAGTAATTGTAATGTTATGATGAGCACCAAGTCAGCAAATGTATCAATAAGAAACAGCTGGTGCTTGGATCAGCCCCTCTGGGTAGTGAAAGGGGTTTCCTTACTTTGTCTGGATTGACCAGGAAAATGGATCAAATACTAACTAAAATTTGAAGTGATCAATAAGGATGAAGTTCCTTCATATGCATCATGTGACACAGTTAAAAATATGGCCAAACTTCACTTTAGAAAGAACTGGTTGTTTTCTTGCCCAATCTTATTGGAAGGTGTTTCCTCCTGATCTTGTTCTGGTGAAGTATGCTTCATCACAAACCTAACATTTATTTTTCCCTTTAAATGCCAAAGAAAGAAATGTTGAGTGTGAAATCTTGTTAAATTTACCTCACATTTTCCCTTTCCAGAGGGAAAAGGAAAATGTATTTGTAAACTCTTCATTTATATACCTTTTCAGCAGAATTTCTCAGGCACACCCTCTACTAGACCTAATCTCTCAGCACCCCATCCAAGCTATTCTGGAACTTCCAGGGATGGGGCATCCACAGTTTTTCTGGGCAATCTGTTCCAGTGTTTTACCACCCTCAATGTAAAAAATGTTTTCCATATATCTAGACTTTATCCATGATAAGTCTTCATCTCTGAGGTAAAGGTGGACAGATTCTAGAGCTCTTCCAGGACGGAAATTGGAACTAAAGTGGGTGGCTCCTTGCTATCCCAATTTTTCTTACTCATCATTGCTATTACATGCTCCTTGACCCTCTTGAAAGGAAAAGGCAGGAGAGGACGTCATCTGACTTCAGCATCGTTTGTTTTATTTCTGTGACCAGGACATGTTCTGTTTTCCTGCTTGTCTAGTGTTATCTTAGTTCTTATCTTGCAGATTTCATTGCTTGCACATGCTCTTTATATCCTATTTGTACAATCATGCCAGAAGTCTCCATTTGTCCTTTTATGGATTTTCATGTGTAGGCTTAGATGTCTCACAAAATGGTTGTGTTATTACCAGTTTTTACAAGTTAAAAGGTACATAAATATCATTGTCAGCTGTAGTTTTTAGCATAAGTAGGTCTGGATTCAACAAAGTGAATATTAATTATATACTGCATTATATGCTTCTAGTTAAGGGGTCTATGTGTTGGCCATGCCAGCTAGGGAAGGAAGAAACTTTTTCATCTCTGTTTTGAGCTCCTGAAAGCTGTATCAGAAGTAAGGATATGAGTCTAAAGCTTCAGCACATGGGTTAACTTCTCTGTGGCTAACGATATATTCCTCTACTTTGCAGAGGTTCTTCCTAATGTCCTCCTGATCACAGGATCTCTAGCTGTGCTAGGTGCAATAGCACTCTCAGTTATCCTTTACCAGTCCTTCCAAGTTGATATTGTCCTGTTGTATCGGGAGATATTCCAGCCCCACTCAGTCAAGAATGGTAAGTAAGATTTGAGAAAGAAAGTTAAAAAAAAAAGAAAATGACAAATCATAGAAAAAGTAATTTATTTGATAGTTGCTAACCCATGACACCTGAGCCTGATTCTTCTCTTTCTTACACTTTTAGTAAAGAGAATCCATACATAGCTCTGCAAGTGCTTTATATTCCCTTGTTTCCTGGGTTTTGTAGCACTGAATTACATAAAAGAGAGATTTAGTCCTAGTTTTCTAGTTTTTTAAACGAAAGTATTTGCCATAAAATACTGAATGACATTGAAAATCTGATTTACAGTGCTATTAACTCTACTTGTTATGTGCTCTCTTATGCAAAGGAACAAACCTGGTAACTAATGTGTTCAAAGCATGTATTAGAGCAAAACAGTTTTTGTAGGCCAAAAAGAAAAATACCAATAGTGTGGAAGACATTTCTGGAGGAATACATCCCATCTAACTTTACCGGTTGCTTTCAGCTCAAGATTCAGACATCTACATTTAGTTGTATGAAATGAAAGTGTACACATGCAAGTTTCCACCAAAGACACGAAACCTGTGGCTGGGTTCAGCTGTCTGACCATAAGCAGCTGGTGCTGTTGGGACTGCCTTAGGGCTTCAGTGAGACTGAACCCCTTTGCAGGGGGCAGCTGAAGGGCAGACAGTGTCTAATGACATGTTGAGGTACATGTTTTTAAGAGACCAAATCCAGCTAAAAGGACAATTTTTAAATCTGAAGCTGACTCTTACCACAGATGTGTTCATGGTAGATATCTACAGCTGATCTAGTTACTTCTCATTAAAGAGGTAAGAAGTATGCTTTTTAGGAAAGTTTCCATGTAAGTATATTTTATGATGAAATTAATCAGACTCTGGAAATGGACATTTCCTTATTATTACAGAATCACAAAATCACAGATTCACAGAATCAATGAGGGCCTCTGCGATCATCGATTCCAATCTATGACCGAACACCATGTCAGCTAGACCATGACATTCAGTGCCATTTCCAGCCTTTCCTTAAACACCTCCAGGGATGGTGACTCTAACACCATCCTGAGCAGCCCATTCCAATGCCTAATTGTCCTTTCTACAAAGAAATTCTTCCTAACATCCAGCCTAAACCTCTCCTGGTCCAGTTTAGCACTGTGTCCTTTTGTTCTGTCACTGCTTGCCTCAGAGAAGAGGCTAACCCCTACCTGGCTACAATCTCCTTTTGGGACATTATAGAGAGCAATAGGCTCAAACCTGAGCCTTCTCTTCTCCAAACTAGATAACCCCAGCTCCCTCAGCTGCTCCTCACAGGATCTATTGTTGGAATGGTTTGAGCAAGAACCTCAGCAACAAAAGAAAGGATACAGCCATTTCCACAAGAAAGAAAGAAACATTTGTGATTAGAATAAAAATGCTGTAATGGAAAACTTAATTTAGATAAATGAAGCAAGGAATGAAAGAAATACTTGACTTTGTATTTGGTTCTGATTGGAAGATTGTTTCCTAAGAAATGGGATTTTCACTCAGGAGTATTATATGTTGTAGGAATGATGAATAAAATCTTAAAGATGGAAGAATTTAAATGGAATATCTTGTGCTGAGAGACAAAGTCTGTTAGTAGCGAATTGTATCACTGAAATAACAAATGCTGAGCTTCATCACTATATCATGCTAATACGCATCGATCAGTTGAAATCTTACTGCATATACTTTGGAATACAGCCTTCACTGTACAAAGGCCAGGTTCTCCAAAGCTACAAACACACAGGACAAAACACTTGAACATGGAAAACACCAAATATGCACAGTCTTTAGTTTCCAAACATGCACCAGAGGATATACATTATTCAAAGTGGCTGGAACTGCTTCTTAGATCTAGTTCAGTGACTGATATTTTTATTTCTCTCCTACTTTTTGCAATAGACAGCTCTAATACTATTAACACAATACCACTTCCTCTTGTTTTGCCTTATAGATGGAAAGATATATGATGCGTATGTTATCTACCCCAAAAACCACACCAGTGAAGCTAATTTTGTGGAGTATTTTGTTTACCAGATCATGCCAGATATTCTGGAAAATAAATGTGGATATACATTGTGTATTTATGGGAGAGATATATATCCTGGAGAAGGTAAGTTTCAGATCTGGTAATGCATTGAATTACTTGTCAAGCTTGAGCAAATTGTAATTCTAGTCCCTTTTAGGTGTATAGGAGGTCATTCTACATTCCTGACCTTGAAGCTTGTCTCCTCAGCAGCCATCTGTCTGCTCTTTCAGGCCAGGTGTCACAAGGGCACTCTATGCTTTCCAGTGTGATGGGAAAAGCAAGCTACAAGGAAGGGGCACAGACTTCTTATCATCTTGGCATACACAGAAAACATGACCCTGACTCTTTTAAACGTACACTTGCTCTTTGGAAAGTCTAACTCTGTGCAGCCATTATCAGCCATTATCTGGGCAAAGCCACAACCAAAGTGTGCATGAGCTGGCTTGGCTGACTACAAGACAAGGAAGAGGAGAAACCCACAAGCTCAGCCAAACCAACAAACTCAGCTGCGGAAACACCTTTGCTGTTATCACTCAGGAGTTTTCAACCTTTTATGAGGGTGTTAGAGTCACAAGAAGTTCAGCTTCTTTTCTCTGACATTTTCTATTTTCCCTTCACACAATTCCCAGCATCAGCTCAGCAGAGAATTGGTATGCTTTATTCCTACTGTCTTGTCTTTCAGGTTGAAATCTTGTTAATTAATCTGTACTAATTTCCAGACACCCTCCACATTATTGCATATGATTGCAGCCACCTAGGTGCTATCTGCTCTCCTCCAGAGCTGACTTGTCTGTTTATCTTGTGCTCTGGTTCTTCTGTAGACTGGATCTTCTCTCTCTGTTGGTGAGCAGGCATGAAGCCTAAACTGGTGCATTTTCTGTTTCACATTTCTGAAATCATCTGCATTGGGTCAGGTGTCATTCATCTGCCCTGAGCTGAGGCTGAGATCTTTAATACCCTTCTCTTCTGAAAGGCTGTGAAAAGGCTGCCTGGCCTTGGGAAAATGAAGGTAAAGAAAAGCTGCAAAATTGTTGAGCCAGACCATTCCCAGATCTAGCACAAGGAGCTACAGTAGCTCACAAACCTGTCAATGGCAAAAACTTACACCACTTGCAGTGGTCTGGCAGCCCCCAGCAAAGGAAAAGAGGTTACATATGGATCTGGCTGATGCATCTACAAACCAGCTGGTTTGTTAAATAATCAGCTGGTGTGTTGAATATCCTCAGCTGGGCTTCCACTTCCTCTCTTTTGGCCCAGCAAAAATTACCGTGACAGTAGCACTGATCAGCTCTCCCTAACATGGCAGTGGGAAATTCAAGCACCTTCTGTTATGCTGACACACAGATGCCCTGAAAGTCTGGATTTACCTCTGCAGGGTGAAGGCCAACACAATGCACAGACTAGTGTATAAATTAGCACATGACAACTCAGGACAATTCACTGTAATTTACTCGAATCCCACCTGTAAATAAGCCTCTTAGATGCAAGTCACCCAGAAGTCTCCTAATGACTAGTTTTTGTAGGTAAGTATTGCAAGATCATCTCTAAGGCATTAAACTTGGTACAACACAATTCCTTACATGGACACTGTTGATCAAACACAATTTTGATACAGTCAGATCTATTGAACTTGACCCTAGGTCACTGGAATATAAATTCCTAACAATACTTAAAAGCAGTGAATATATTAATGTTTCAACCAAAAAACCCATTTGAAATGAAAGCTTTTTGTTTTGGGCTTCTTGCTTTTCTCTCCCCCTGTTCCACTGCCTTTGGTTGGTTGTGTTTTTTTGTCTTTTTGAGGGGTTTAGGGAATAAAGTATTTCTCTGCAAATAAACAAACTGTATCAGACTGAAGTGAGATAGAAATTATTTCTGGTTACAAAGCAATGAAAATGGAGTTTCCAAACTCAAAAGATTTTTAAAAGTAATATCAATGTCTCTTCCTTTGCTTGTACATTGCTAGATGCAGTCAGTGCAATTGAGATGAGGTTGCAGAAGAGCAGAAGGTTGATCATCCTGCTAACACACCAGCTGGTTAATTCTAAAGAAGATGCTTTCGATCAACACATTGCTTTATACAATGCCCTCATTCAAAATGACACAAAGGTGATCCTTTTGGAAATGGAGACAATTGGGACTTATGAGAAGCTTCAGGAATCTCTTAGGTTTATTATTAAGCAGCAAGGAACCATCAAATGGAAAGAGGAGCACACGGTGCACCCACAGTCACCCAGTTCTAGGTTCTGGAAACAGGTGAGGTACCATATGCCACTGACACACAGGCCCTCCTCACACTTGGCTGACACCACGTGAACAGTCTTGGAGAGCAGAGCTGCACTATCAGGATGGATTACAGCCCACAGTTGCTTTCCTTTCAGAAGGTAGGTGACTATATAGTCTGGAAGTCTGGCTGTGTTTTTTGAACTTTTTTCAGTCCTTCAGTTGAGTAATGAATGGAAGAGGTTTAGGAAACAGAGAGGACATTTTATAGGTATGAGAGTTCTGTAAAGAAATAATTCTAGATTTTGTGGAGAATTTTGTATGTCACAGAAAACAAAATGTACCTATACTCTTTCTATATATAGTTGTATATATAACAGAAAGTTGTGATTGTGAATAACTGAATGCCTTGCAGGTTTACTTTATCTTTCTAATGCAGTTGATAAAATATAAATACCTATTGTATTATTTGACTAGAAAGTATAATGTGCATTTTGCAACTAGAAAGTATAATCTCATGCTTTTTTAAACTTTTATTTTCTGACACATACTCCTCTTTGATTCAATAGTGATACTCACAAGATGAAATTTTATTTTTCCTTAGTATGGCTGCCTCACTAAAGGGTCTTTTGAGACTGATGTGAATATGGTGTTAAGGTAAAGAAATGCACTTATATATCTATATATCTATATATATAAAAAAGATGCATTCTTACAGGAAATAAATGCATTGATATATACATATATATATTACATGCATTGTTAAGGGAAATAAATGCACTGATACATATAAAGGAATTTTATATGCACATTAAAATATTTAATGTATCTATTAAAATATTAAAATGAGTGTCACACAAATGGGAAATTTGATGTCTTTCAAGTACAATAATCATGCTGTTACTATAATTATTATCTCCAGATAGAACTAACATATTAAAATTTAGGATGATCTTTTGATACACTGACAGCATTCCTTTAAGCTACTGAAAAAATAGACTGCTTTTTTATAACAAGGATTATCCACCTTTTTTTCCATGCTTTGGCCTCATGTGTAGTTATACTTTCTGATAGGAAATAATCTTAAATGCAAAGGTCAGAGCCAAATCTCCTTCTAGTTCAGGGGAACAGGAACAAGATATATCCTTCTACAGGTATCTCTGCAAACTTTAATCTATTTTGATTTTCAAACCCAGGAAATTCTTATTGTAAGAGAAGGCTTAGTTTTCAGCTTTAGACTTGCTACAGAATAGACTTAAAAAGTGAAAATTAGATGCAGAACACTCATTGTTACCAACTCCAGGATTACAAACAGGCAAGTTATTTCATTTTACTGTAAGTTTTTATTGAATATGGATCTTCAGACTTATGGATAACTATTTGGAGTGGAAAAAAATGTGCATAAAATATATGTATGGATATTTTTAGCATTCAATTAAAAGATGTATGGCAAACTAGACAGTTTTTCACTTATGAGTTGTATTTTCAAGCGTTCATTCACACATTGCTCACTTCACCACAACTAAAAAGCATCAAATGTTGCATTTTGTAATTACCTCAGATTGTGTGCAGTGTTGAGTCCTGTTCCTAAAGGTACCTCTGGATAAACCTTACTGTCTCTGTGGAGGCCCCACAAGATGGATTCATGCCAGTGTGCGACTTGGTTTATTCCTACAGTACCATTTCTTCCCACAGGGAGCAGAACAACACTAAGGTATATGTAAAAACAGGAACCTATTGCTATAAACTATGAAGACTTTTCATATAAGCTGTAGAGTAAGACAGAATATTCACTTCCAAGATTATCACAGGATAAGTTCTTAATACAGTTTGAGTCCTGGGCTTGTGGAGTGAGTACAGCAAAGGGCCATGAGGTTGGTGAAAGGATTGGAGCATCTTTCCTACAAAGAAAAGAAGAGAGAGCTGGGACTTTTTAGCCTGGTGAAGTCCCTCACCTGAAGGGAAGGTATAAAGAAGAGGGAGTCAGGCTCATCTCAGTGATGCCCAGTGACAGGAACAGAGGCAATTGGTGAAAACCTAAAAACAAGAGATTCCCTCTGAACATCAGAAAGGCTTTTTTTTTCTTTTTTTTTTTTTATGGTGAAGATGACCCAGCACTGGCACAGGTTGCCCAGGGAAGTTGTGAGTCTACAGCCTTGGAGATACTAAAAAACCTCCAGGTTGATTCTGGCCAATCTTGAGCAGGAGGGTTGATTAGATAACTTCCAGCAGTGTCTTTCATCCTCAATCATTGTTTGATATGCAACTTATAAACAACCTAGATTTTCAAAAACATTTTCTTTTAAATTAAAATTGGCTTTTTGTACTCACAAGTCTGCATTCATGGAATAACAATGATAGTCTGCCCTAGCCCCCTCCTCCCCCCAGTAAGTATTCTTTCAACATAGAAATAAATAAACATAGAAATAGTAACATAGGAATAAACATAGAAAGCTTATAGAAGATTCAGTTTGCATGTTTTAAGCTTAAACTAAACAGCACCAAGCCAATTTTGTAGCTGAATTATACTGTCCACAAAGAGTTTTAACCTTCTTTAGTTTCTCCCCCGTGCTTCTGTGGTTTTGGCACCTCAAGGGACTCTGGAGAGCAGATTTGCTTTCACTTCCTGATAGAGCAGAGTCATCCTGCCCTCTCGTGGGTGAGCAGGCACTCAGAGATTCTGACCAGCTAGAAATACTTTAGGGTTGAGATTTGATGTTCCTACAGCTCATATGGTTGTGAAGCCCAAGAGACTTACCACTTAAAGGAAGGTTTTAGAAGTTTGTGAGAGTTTTTGTAGAAAGCTGTTATTTGTTATGCAACATTAATATCTTAGAGCATTGGACAAAGCCTGTTTGGAAGATGATGTGTAAAATTGATAGTATATTAAATTGAATGTACCTTATATTAAATTGTACGTTCCTTACTCTTTAAAGGGTTGAAAAACTACAGCTGTTGTTTTAGACACAAATCATGCATATCCAGCTGTGTTTCAGACAGTGGGAAGACACTGGATACTGTATATCTTGTAGTGAGCAAGGTCCTTGACACAATCTCTGCTAGACAGACAGATCCAAGAAAGTGATCAGAAAAACAGTGGGACCTGTGGGAATAACAGGTCACGAGCAGCATACAAACCTCAGCTCACAGCTAATTGCTAGAGGCATCCCTCACGGAGTGATATCTGTACCAAGAATGTTTAGCATCCTTATTGATGACCTTGACAATGGGACAGACTGCACAACCAACGAATTTTCAGTCACAATCAAACTGGGGAGGGATAGTTGACCCACTGGAGCACAGGGCTGCTCTTTTGGACAGAAATTGGCTGAAGAAATGGATTGATGAGAAACCCTCAATGTTCAATCCAAGGCATGTGCTAGGTGCTGTAACTGAGATGAAATAAATCCATTCAGCAATGCAGCCTGAAGGTCAACCTAATGCAAAATAGCTTTGCAGAAATAGACTGGATGTCCTGGTTGACACTAAAGTGAACACAATTCAGCAATGTGTCCTTGTGACTCGGGTGACCAACGGCAGTCTGCACCTTACTAATGAGAATGTACTTGTGGAAAGTGATTATTCTCCAGATGCAGCATTTGTGGGACCATCCCTGGGGCACGATGTCAAGTTTTGGACTCTTTAGTACAACTGAGGAGGTACTGATATATTGAAGTCCATGGGAAGACCACCAAGAGCACAAATCATACAGGGAGAGGACAAGAGGCCCTGTTTCTACCTACAGTAATCTAATGAAAAGACAGAGAGAATGAATGGAACCAGACTCTTCTCAAATAAGCTGAAATGGGACAAAAAAGTAACTGAGACTAATTAGAACATAGGAAATTTATATTACATACTAGGAAAAAAAAAATCACCATATGCATGTTCCAAAACTGGAACATGTGCCCAGATAAGTTGTGGAATCCCCATCCTTGTTAATATTCAGGGCTCATTTGTTGCACCCTGAAGAGGGGTTGCACCTGAGGACTCCCAGAGGTCCCTTCAAACCTGAATTATCCTGTGATGCTGTGATGTGGAGGAATGTTTGAAAGTGTCCAACTTCTGTATTTTAAAATTTCTGAGAAATGTATCAGGCTCTAACATTATCAGTTTGTAACCTGCTTTTTTGACATCAGAGGAAGATAATGCTGAAAAACTATTGAATGTGACTTAACATGTGCTAAAAATTAATATAACTTGTATACAGAGATAATAGATGTAGCTTAAGAAGAACTATTTCCCTAACAGCAAATGGGTTTAAACTGTGGTTACAGGAGCTGAATGTGTTGCAATTTATGATGGAAATAGTTTCAGTTTTTCAGTTAGCACCTCTATATAGTTTATGTTGAATGGAAAGGAAGATGTGAAAAACTGTGTGAAATAACTGGTTTTCTCTAACTGATTCTCAACTGGTCAGGTTGTCAGAGCTTCATTCAAAAATCTGTTTTCCAATCTTAGTGCAAACTTTCATGTTCATAGTGACATTTTCAAAATTAAAATCTAAATTGTAGCTATTTTTAGTCAAGTTACATATCTGTTACCAGACCATAACTTATCCATTAAAATTGTATTAGTCTGAGACTAAAAAGTGTAAAGTTTATTCTCCTTTCACATATGTTCATGTACCACACAGCTAGCTATGACATTAGTTGAAAGGATCAATTGAACAGACCACATTCTGCAATGCAGATTAAAGTTCAAAAACTTGAGAATATTTTAAAAGAATATGAAAGCAAATGTGAGAAAAGCTCATGGAAAATATTGCTGTAAAAGACTGAGTCAAAAAAAGAAGTTTCCAAACTGTCACTATGAAGACAGTCTATGAAAGCAAAAAAGCTGATGACATTTTACTTTACCATTTTATTTGCTGGCTGCTAAATAGTTTTCAGAGTATCATATAAAATCATTATCATCTTTATGATATCAGCTTTCTTTTAGGTTTTAAAATCAGGTACTAAGTCATAAGACCAAAAGCACTGCAAAGTATCTTCTACACATTTTTAAAGCAGTTACAGTTAGTTAGATCCTTAGCTTACCTTCATTGGAACTGTGCTGATTTACACTATGCAGGGTCTAATTGTTATAGATAGTGCTTCGTTCTGTGATGAGGAAAACACATGAGATGAGACAGTAAAACACTCCAGGGTTTCTTCACTTCACCTCTGCAATGAAAACATGCAAGAAAGCCAGCTCTGTATAATCCCTCCCTTCTTTTAATTGTAACCTGCTCGTTTTACCTCCAAACTGTCCCCTCCTGTTGAAATTGGGAACTTTTGCATTAGCAGTTGCCCTGGGTAAAAAACCCAAAATGTAGTTGTCACCAAGGAAATGTCTGGAGATTAAAAGGGTGATATGCAAATAAAAGAATTCCTGAGGGAATGATTTTTTTCCCTGCTGTTATCAAACTAACTTTATTTAGAGTATAGTGAATCATTGCATAGTACTTAGCAGATAAAGCATTCATGGAATTAACAACGGCAAGCATTCATTTACTTAGGAACAGGACTCAAACAAGAAATATACCTGTCAGAAACCACTGGTGGAAGGAACCACAGTTCCAATATACCAACATTTGGCTAACAAGCAAACTCAACTAATGACATGATGGCTTCTTTAGAAGTGAAACCATGCACTCACTTTGCAGCAATGTCCTGAAAATTTCCATTATTCTCCCCTTGGAAGCACAGAAAAAAAAAAAGCATTGAAATGGGGACATTTTTCATAAAACCAGTGTGGAAACTTATCTTTTGCTGCCTTATCTCTTTTTTCTGCACACCATAGTTTGTAATTCCTTTTGGCGGGATTTGTGTGTGTGTGTGTGTGTGTGTGTGTGTGTGTGTGTGTGTGTGTGTGTTTTGAGGTCTTTGCAGAATACCAGCGTTTCAGGGTTAGCTCTTTGCACGTCCTCACTCGCAAACCACGCAGCAATGTGGGGAGGAAGCTGTAGCAGAATTAAAACTTCGTATACTCAGCACACTCCTTGGAAATGAGTCCTGCAATGTGTATTGAGCGGAAAAGCGGAGGAAGAGGCGTTTCGGCTAAAGACGACGGAAGACATCACCTCCTCACGCCTTTTCTTCCCCGAAAGGTTGTGAGAGGGAAGAGGTGCACACACTCCACCCCCCTCCGCCTGCTAAAAAAGTCGAGCATCGCTCACAGCGCTGGCGGGGCGCACCTCTGGGTGTCCGGGTCGGGCTGGCAGAGCGGCCCCTCGCCAGGCCGGGCAGCCCCGCTCCGCTCCGCCCTGCAGCCAGGTAGGGCAGGGCGGGGGGACAGCGGGACGGGAGCGCCGGGGCTGGGCACCGACTCCTCCTGCTCCCCTCGCTCGGAGGAGCCCGGCCCTGCCCCGCTCAGGGCATCCCGGCGGCTGTGCGGGGGCCTCTCGCTGGCCGGAGACCTCTGCAGGGCACTCTGTCCTTCCCCAGCCCTGCCCGTCCCCAGCCCTGCCCTTCCCCAGCCCTCCCTCCCTCTCCCACCCAGCCCTGCCCTTCCCCAGCCCTGCCCTTCCCCAGTCCTCCCTCCCTCTCCCACCCAGCCGCACTTCCCTGTCTGTGCAGTGCCCGGCCCTCCCAGTCACCTCTCTTGGACACCTCTGTCCAGGGCCCATGCTGTACTTTTTCCTTACTACCCAGCTGGCATAAGCAGTTTAGCCCTGAAAACGGCTTATTTCAACATACAGCGCCTGTCGCCGTCTCCACGCTGTCCGCAGCCCTTTTCCTCCCACCTGGGTGGCTTTGGAAGAGGATGGACTCCGTCAGCCCTGCTGTAAGTGGTAGGAGCAAAATATTATGCCTAAAGCATTTGGGTATCAGCTCTCAAATGCCTTATTTGGAAAAAAAATATTAATATCAAGGACTTGCTATTAACTTTTCATTAATGCTAGCAGAAATTAATTTCTCACATTTCCCTTTTCTGTTTTCCTTCCTGCAATCAACAGTTCTCTTTTTCTTTTTCAGAAGGTTTTTCAGGCTGAAATATCTATGTATTGACTCACTTGCTGAGAGAGAAAACTCTCTGTTTCAGTGATGAATGAGATTCAGAAGAGTTGTAAGTTCAAATTGCAACCCTCTGGAGTTTGGAAGGCTCCCTCTCCGCCCACTTTCCACCTGGCAAGATTTGCATAGTAAGTAAACAGCTTTACTTATGTTCTTTGAAATTAAGACAGATTTTCATTTTTACCAAGAAACTGCAATCCTGGCAGAATGGTGCTTGGATCTAGGATGGTTAAGACAACTGTTTGTTAAATATTTTTGTTTTCTTCATCAATGCTGCACAAATTATGGCACTGTGTGGTAACATTGAAAAAATACTTAAATTCTGTAAGAAGCATTCCTAAAGAGGAAAGACTAGTGCTTTCCTTCTTTGACCTCAAAATGATGTTTAGAACAGTCTCATGTTCAGAAGAATCTGTTGTGGTTTTTTTTTTTTTTTTTTTAAAGGAAGTCACAGCCCTTCAGGACCAAATTGAATTTTCCAAAAGTGTTGGTCAAAATTAGATACTTGTCCAAAATTGAGTATCAATCACTTTTATGTATCAGCCCAATTTGTGGTGATTCTAGAAAGCGGGGAATAATTTTAATGGTGCACGATTTTCTAATGCATGAGACATTGGTAATGTGCTTTACAGAATTTAAAATTTGGTTTTGTTTGAAGTTTTTGTTGGTTTCACAGTGGCAAAGCATTTTTAAGAAAAATATTTCATTATTAAAACCCCATCAGTGGTTTTAAACATGTATAAAACATTTACAAAATGCTTAAAACTGTTGTCACTTTGAACCTTATAGACAACTTATAATTTAATCAATTTGCATTGAAACTGTCATTTCCCTCTACTGCCTTAGCGTTCTGTCCATTAGTATTTCTGTACTCCTTTATTAGGAAGAGAATCTTTGCTTTCAATTTAAAATAAGTCTCAATTTTTTTCTGAAAATTAACAATCTTATTCTGTTTATCAAAGATTCTCTCTGGATTAGCTGACTTTCCCTAAAAGCACTTTTTTTTTTTCCCACATTTTTCTCCCCTCCTAACTTTGCATTGAAGAATACTCAAACTGCATGGCTCCAATGTTTTAGCCTACAGTAGAACAATTTCAGACAAATTGATCATGTTCAACAGCAATGAGAGGGTAAGATTAAGGTCTTGTGTCTTGATTTTTAGTAGTCATGAATCCCATACTTGGTCATTACTAAGTCACTTCCGTTATATCGTGTACATTCATCCAGCCTTCCACTGTGTGCTGATGTGATATACCAAAAAAAGAAGTGGATTTAGAATTAAAGATCTGGTGTTAAATGATTCTATCTTTATGTGGTGGACCATAGTCTTGTCTAAAGGCTGTGTTTTTTCTGAATGTGATAGGAAAGAAAAGCAAAGCAAAATTCAAGAAATTAAAGAGAGAGGTCCTTCTTTCCTTATGAAATGTATGCATTTGAATTTCCATGTGTAATAAGGAACTGAAATTTTGTGTTGCAGTATTCAGCATCCAGATTCTCTTAGCTTTCTAAATCTGGATCTGCCTACCAGGCCATCTAAAAAAGGGATGTGAAACACTTCCTTCATCTTCTTGCAGTGCTTTAAGGGATGATGGCACACTTGTAAAGAACTGAGAAGAAAGGTAAGAGAGGGAAGGCAGCTACCCAGTTTGGTGTCCTGGAATACTGCTGGAATTGCAGTAGCCGCCTGCCTCCAATCTCTTCAGGTCAAAGGGACTTTCTGACTCCGGATCTTAGGGCAGCCTCTTAAACTTTGTGTTTTCTCAAATTGCAATAGGTTTACCCAATAAAAAAATGGATTGCTAATGAGATTTTTTTTGGCAAGTCTCTCAGATCTCTGAAATACATCTGACGTGTTGTTTGTCTCATCTATCCATTCATGTTTGGGTCACACTAAGCAAGGTTATCTGTTTTGGACTCAGGGGTTGAACTGAGCTGATTGTGTATCTCACCTATCTGTTTTGTAAGCAAAACAGAGGCTGAGTCTCAGGAGTAGCTCTGTCTTTGTGAGTTAACCTGCTGTTCTGAGGAACCTCAGAATATGCTCCAAGCCAGTCTTACTTAGTGGTGTTTTTCACTTGCCTTTGAAATAGTTGACTACACATGAAGCAACTGAATATAGGCTGCTTCTTGTCCTCCCCCTCAGGGGAAATGTTAGAACTTTCAGCTGGAGCTTATTGCCCCTACAGACCAAACTGTGAAAGAAATGACACGTCCCATTGCTTTCCAACAGGCTCGAAGTTAGCCATCAACATATCCAATTTATAACATTGTGCTGTTCTCATTGAAGGCAAGGGAAGTTTCCACTGGCTGTTTCTACAAGGTCCAGTCTTGCAAAGTTTATTCTCTTTGTGGAGAAAAAAAACCACTGTCCTGTCCTTTGGTAGGTATCTGCTGGCTCAGGATTTGAGTGCTCTTGTAATATTTCAAAATGCATCCATGAAATAAGAAAATGAAACCAGGAAATCCTAAGGTGCTTTCTGAATTTGAAATGAAATGCAAAGAAAAAATCTAGATGCATTACCTGATGTATGAAAATAGCTGTTATCATAAAAATATGTTAGCTTCCCATTTGGAAAGCCCTCTTCAGCAGCAGGCATAGTTACACTGCTCACATGCTCAAAGGAATCTGTTTCACTGGACTTGTGGTGAGCTGTGAATCTTGTGGGTTTTGTTTTTTTTTTGCAGACTTTCAGACAAGCAGGAACAATTCAGTTTCTCTTTTTTTTTTTTGGAGAAGAAGTGAGAAGTAACTCAAGAAAATGACTCTGATGATTTTTTTTGTCATGTTGGTCATGGAATCGGCTACTGGTAAGTAAAAGTCTTCAATTCAATAATAGAACATTCAAAATATGTCCCAGCTTCTTGACAGTTGCTTGCAGTAGGACAAGTTTTGTTTTTTTCAGCCAAGAACAAAATCTCAAAGGTTTGGCAATTACAGCCCAGCTCCAGACTTTGGAAATTTGGTCCTAAACACTGAAAATATGAAATGAAAAAGCAAGGATGCTACTTGGAGAAACCTGATGATGTTGTATGTGACCATAACCATATGAAGAGACATAGCAAACAAGAGAAAGAGCCTGCTTCTTTTTGTGCCATTCAGAAGTGTGGTCACAAGTGTGGTAGTTGCTAAACAAAAATAATCTCTGAGAACCTCAGGAGAAAAAGAGACTGAAGGCTGATTTTATTTTTGACTCATAATCCTCGATCATGGTTCCTTTTCCATACTTTTAATAACTTCTGTATGCAAAAGTAAATTGGGGAAATTTGTTTGGAAAGGCAGACTTGAAGACTAAATTTTACACACATAATCTCATTCCGAGGCAGTTGTCCAAAGATATCTGAAGTTTTTCAGAAATGTATCTACATAATGATTCTTTTAATTAAGCAGATAAGGAAATGCAAATGTTAATTTATAGGATCTGCTTTTATCTCAAACATATTTGTCAAGTGAAACCATATGAATTTCTCCTTTCCTCTTCCATTTGTGGCAGTTTCTTTACTGTAGAGTATGGCCAGATTCTGCCTTTTGAGCCAATGTGATTCTGACACTGTGGAACACATGTGAAAGAATTCTAGAGATAGGGAAATGTATTTTTATTTTCAGTCCTTCATTTTCCTTTTGGTGTTGCTTTAGTAAGATAGAATAAAGCCTTGGAAAAGGCTGAGTTTTTTAGTAACCATTGCAGGAATAAATAAATAAATGCTGCCAAACCATTTTGCTGAAAGAAATCTTTTTATAAAATACAATCAGCACAGCAAATCACTTTAAAGTCAGGCTAATGCAATTTTCTGAAATAAGTACTTGGCTTCCTAATATATCTTTTCCCCCTTTCTCTGAAGAGAAACTGTGTCCCCTTCGTGCCTCCATTGATGTTCTAGAAGGGGAATATTTTTTCCTTTGTTATCTTGAGTCAAGGCAAGAACATTTTCAGGAAGAAGCATATGCAATAAACTGGTACAAAGAAAGTGCTGGAAAGCAGCAACTGATAAAGGATACACACAGAATTGTTTCACAAATGAATTTTCTGGAGTTTTGGCCAGCTGAACTCAGTGACTCTGGGAATTACTCTGTCATTCACAGGTGAGTACACAACACAGTGGGTAAATGTCTTGCCTGTGCACATGTCTATGATGAAGATAATTTCTTTGTTGTGTTTTTTTATAGCTAGTGGCATCCATATAATAGGGGCTTAGGGAACTACTCTAACTGCAGTGTCATTTCCCACTTCATTTCACAGTAACTATCAAAGTAGACTTGTGATATTTATAAATATCTATAAGGAGTTTCAGCCTTTTAAATGTTCTGTGAACCTTTTGATAAGGCAGGTAGCATTTTTGCTGGCTTGTGATTAATTACCTAAGAAAAATGAGTGTCAGGCCACCCTTCCATCCACTGTCAAAAAAAAGGAAACGTTTGCTTGTCTTCTTCCCCAGACTTGTTCTTGCTTGCTGTGTTGTGTGGATCTCATGCTATGAGGCTTGCCAAATCATCTAACTGTATAGTAAAGATTAAACATAGCATAGCTGAACTCTGTTTGCTGTGCAAACCTCTGCCTGCATGGAGCCATTCAAAGAGCAAATGAAATAATTGGATTTGATTTCTTACTGCTGTAGAACACCATGGGTTAAAAGGAGAGACAAGGACAAGCCCTCATTATTTGGTGTCAATCTTCATTGGAACACCTTGAAAGGTACTAAATCAAAGGTTTGCTGCATGGAGTTCTTATGACTAACTTGCACTAAACCCATAATTCAGCATTTACAGTTGAAGCAATGATTAATTTGAAGCAGATCACCGTGCATGTAATGATTTATGCTTTTCTCCAAGTAATATTTTTAAGGTTCTACCCAGGTTTATAAAGCATATGGGACTGTGGATACTGAAAAATGCTCTCCATGTTTTTCCAGAAATACCACAGACTCAAGTTTGATAGCTTATAGTTCTAAGACAGACTTCAATTGTTAACTTCCAAGTCAACTTGGAAGCTGAAAAAATATTTTTGTTTTCATATATCATTACTGTTATCTTCTTACTGATATTATTTTAAAAAGTACTGATTCATGGTATATGAAATGCAAAATATTTTTAATTGTAGGGTAAATATTGAAAAAAATTTTATTAATCTATGTTAAATTCAAGAGGATTTTCTTTAGGGATGATGAATATGGTAGTTTGTTGTGCTGTTTTGTTGTGTTGATCAGTTTTCTGTATGGTCACTTCACAAAAAAGCTATTAAATCTAAAAACTCACTCCAGTGCCACCTAATAAGTGTCAAAAAATGCAGGCTGACTAATTTTGGGATGGGAAAAGGTAGGTGGAGATCATACCTGAATTGCCAGGCTACTGAAGGAGACTGCCATAATGAGTCTAAAATACAGGGCAAAAGAGAAGACAGCTGTGATAAACCCAGCCTAAATTCATGATCATTGTGGTTTTCTGATTACTTTAAGGACTTGGGGTAATAACAGTAAAGCCAGAGTAAATCACAAGAATTCTACAAAATTACTATGAAAAAGTGTACATCTCAAAAATGAAGGAAACAGCCTTACATACAGAAGAAGGAGATGACAAGAGAAGAAGTGAAGTAAAACTATTAGAATGAAGTTTGTTAAAATGAGTAATTGTTGGAAAACACAAAAATGTCAGAATCCTTTATGAAATTACTTGATTTACTCATTTGCTTAAGAGAGAAACTAAAAAAAAATTTTTTTGATTACATCAAAGCATTCATTTGGAATTGAGAGTTTTGATTTTCTCCTTTATTGTCTTGTCTTCTATAAATACCTTGTTACCTGCTACATTTTAAAAATCAGTTTTGAGAGAAAGTATTTTTGAGGAAAAAAGTCCTTTTTTATTTTTAGTTTTTAAATTTATTTCTGTTAGACCCATATGACACTGACACTCATTTTCTGTTAGGATCAGAATGATGCCAGAATCTTGCAATCCTCCTGTGGGAACTCTTCACAGATCTCACTGCTGGAACAATAGGCATAAGGGGATTTTTTAAAATGGGATTTTTATGGGATCTTTGGCTTAATTTATATGATGGTTCTCACTGTTGGCAGGCATATTAAATGAGTTACATTTCAGGAAATACAGATATTATTTCAAAAACTGTTTTCTGCAGAGACAGAGGATTTTTAGAAGTTTCTGTAGGGAACAGTTGTGGGCTGTGAACTTGTTTAAGATTTAATATGAATGATACGAGTGGAATTATTTTAATTTATGAGTGTTTATAGTAGGTTAAAAGTTTTACTTTTGAAAGAAGATATGCTAGGTAGATTTTTATTTATCTTTTTAATTTTCAACTGTTTATAGATAGGTATTTGTAAGCTATATGGGAACTAATTTTCAGAATACTTATAACTGTTTAGGCAGTTTCAGGGAACAATGTGAGAATTACATATACTGCAGATTTTCAAGAAAAGCAGACAACATGTTGACAGATTTTGCAAACTAATTAAATGTAGGATTTTTTTTCTGGTGTGTTACAATGACAATATGCAAGAAGCAAGTAGTGAAAGGGATGTTTTTATGATATTTTATGATATTTTAACCGCATTTTTTTTTTTTTTTTGCTTAAAGAGGAACCAGAAGTTTTACAGTTAAACCAGATGTGTCCTGCTGAGACACACATAGCTGAAGTGTGCATATATGTGTGTTGACATGCTCACGTGTGTTTGTTACTACACTAGACCCAGGATACAAATTCAGGAATCAATGGACATCACCTATAGGCCTGAATGTGTCCATCTTCAGCAACATCCTTGAAAATAAAAATTGTACTTATAGTCAGTGTGGTAAGCAGAAAAAACTGTGTCACAGGTCTTTGGAAAGATTTGTAATTTGTATGGGGTTTTTTGTAGCCTGTATCCTGTTGTTGTCAAAGAGAAAAACAGAATACAAAAAAAGCAGGTCATTGGGTTGCTCTATTTTGGTAACCTTGAAACTGAGAGAACTTAGAAGTTCCTGAAAAAATCAAAAAACTACAGAGAACCACAATAAACACACAATAAATTTTAAAATCCAAATATTACTCAATTTTTCAATATGTTTAGAACAACTGAAAGCTGTGGCAACACACATATATAGTTTAATACTGCAATTTGGAAAGCAGGGTGACAGTTTCTACAGAAGATTGCAATATTGAGATAACATTGCCTTGTTGCAGAAAAATAGCTAAGGGATTACTTAGATTTGGCTATGTATCCAGTAAGCTTGGTTTATATTATGTAAGGTCTTTCACTTCCCTGTATCATCTTCTGAGTCAAGCTGGATTTTGTTGTTCCTTCTTGGTGGGTTTGTTGAGGGGGAGATTGAAAAGCTGTTTAACCAGAAATGTTTTTTTTCCCAACAAAGTATCACTGAAGACTCTCCAATAAGGGAAAACCAGGGTAAAAATATATAACAATTCAGACACTAGCAGTTTAAAAAATACAACTAAATGTTTTGTGTATGTGTGTGTTGAAAACCATGCTATATGGCAGTCAACTAGAAATTATGTACAAAAGATTCATCTTTATTTGCACAGGTATGGTTTTAATACTTTCCAGGGACATTCTCCTTGCCAGATTTTGGCTCATCAGGTAGAATATCTTGATCCAGTTCAAGTGTTTTCCCCAAATAGGATCACAGAAGAAAGCCTCTGTGGAGTAACAGTGCTGGAGAGAACATGTGGCTTTATGGACCCTTTTCTTTCATCTGCTGAATCTGGAGAGTAAAATCATTTGCATTTCATGGCTAGATCTGTAATTAATTCTCTAACAGTATTCAGATTAGTAGAGTGATGTCTAAAGAAACACACAGACTCAGTGGAATTAATTGGAATTAATGTTTATGTCCACACCTAAATTTATCTTGGTTACTGTAAGGGAGGGAGAGGCCATTCTGGGTCACAGGTGATCCTGTCCAAAACAAAATATATAAAATAGGTTGTATAAACTGCACTGTGGCAGAGTGACTTCTGACTGTGGTCCCACTGCTGACTGTGATTAGTAGCTCTGATTTAAATGGGTAAATAAGATGCTGAAGAATAGGTGAGAAGAGCTCCACCCAACGTGAATACTCACATGAGCTCGTCTCTGATGGAAAAGCTTTGGTAAGGCTTTTCCTGTTTGTGACAGCATAGTTAGTTGATTTACCAAAACCACTACATGTTTTTAGAGAGTCAATTACAATTAGGAGTCATGAACATCTCAAGTGGGTAGAGAACCTGTGTAGCTTAAAAAAGGGCTACAATGCAAAGAGGGTAAGCATAAATACATTTCTTTGGGGAGCTTAAAAAGCAGAAAAGAAACAATCCAAGACTTGGTCTAAATTCATCCTTAAAATGATGTCCTAATAGCTCTTCTGAATCTTGTACGCTCAAAAGACATGTCAAGAATGTGTTTAAGCTGATGTACTCACCAGGGCTGCTTCTCCATTCCAACTCCTTTGTCCTCTTGGACTGTCTCATTTAAACAATTCTTGACTTCTGTTCTGGAAGAAATTTATTTTTCTTTTTTTGGAGGCAGAAAGCTTCAAACATATTTATGAAGATATGACTGAAATTGGAGGGAAGTGCTCTGTGATTGCTGCTTTTCCTTTGTCAGGCCCTGCTTGTTCAGAAAACAAATGAGAGCTCCATGCACTAATTGCAAAATTCCACCCATTAACTGACAGAACCTTACCCACTAACTGACAGTGGCATATGGCTTTCTCTTAAGCTCTAACTTTGCCAAATGAAAGTCCTTCAGGTTCCTTTCCCTTGGTAATCATGTATTTGGGTATATCAAATATATATATATATTTGATATATATATATATATATTTGATATATATATAACAGTGAAATTACAGTTATAATCTTATTATTTCAAGGAATTTATGGAGAGAACCTAGTAGATATCTAAATGACAATGATCAGCTCCTAGATATACAAAAGAGGCATTTTTGGAGCATATTCATGTTTTCTTGTATGGAATGTGATGACTCTGCTGCAGAAGTGATAGTTCCTGACTTTTTCAGTCAGTCTGAGGTGCTCAACTGCTACAGATCTCTGATCAGTGCAGAGTCAGAGAGATGCATCATTTCCAAAGTGCCTTATTTTGCAGACATGTTTGAATCCATAAATGATGCTATAATTCATGAGACTTATGGAATTTAGATTTTTTTCCAAAATATCATTTGATTCCAAAGTATTCCAAAATATTCCAAAATACCTGCAGAGTATCAAACAATCAATAATTGATTAATATTGCTTTGTGAGCAATACCAAACTTGCCTATCTTATTTCTAATTTTACAAATATATTTTTCTGTCATGGTTTTTAATCTTAGCAACACATAGGAAAATAAACCTGCAAAATCTTCAGCTGATTCAAGGTCCAAAATTCTTTGATGCTCTCATGTAACTAGGGATGATGTCACAGATTGTTGCATCTTTGTTAAGGTCAATGTAGCATATATTGTCATATTCCATAGATATAACTGTATTGTCAAATGTTTTGTAATCATGCATTTAGTTTAGGTAACCTGTTTGGTTAAAGGAAATTAGGCTTATTTGGGAGTGGGAAAGTGATAAAGGGAAATAAAAATAACTGGGTCACTGTAGATGTACCTTTTACCTAACAAATGTATTTAGAATTTATTTTTATTTTGTAACTCACCAAGCTGCATTATTTTTAGAAAGCTCCTAAAACTGATTTTGCTATATTTTTTTTTCTTAGCAATGGAAAACAAAATATCACAATTCAAAAGTGGACATTGAATGTACTTGAAAGAAATAAAAGCAGCTGTTTCAATGAAAATCATTTAACTACAGAAATTAAAAGTGCTGGAACTGGTCATTCACTGAAATGCAGCGATTTGTCTGTCTATGAAAATGACAGCATAACATGGTATAAGGTAATTACTGAAACAGTGTCACTCCAATCATTGGCTATAGAAACAAATGATTGCAGGGAAATATTAATTGCAAACAAATTTTTAGAATTATCTACAAACATTGTAAAGCCTTAATTTCTCATGAGATTAGGGGGAAAAACTTAGACAGATACGAAAAACAAAGCTTTTGTCTGCTTTCCAATTTGTAAAAAAAAACATACCTGTTTCAGAAATTATTAAACTAGTAGTTTGGAATGATGAAATATCTGATGTGCATGTCTGTTTGCTGATTTTGGCAGCAGCTGGTTTAGCCAGCTGCTGCTTTGCTGATACAGATATTGTACTGATGCTAAATGAGATGCCAAGATTTTTATTTTACAGTTGACATGTACTTGTAAAGTAATTGCAAACTTTTCAATTCTGCTGTTTCTGAACAGTTTTTAAGTGTGTACTAGATCCAGTTATGTTCATTTTTGGCAAATCATCTCTTTGGGGTGAGCTCCTTATTCCTCTCAGGTCTCCTGGTTGGAGTAACAGATCCTATTCACCCCAAGATCCATCAGTTTCAGGAAGGGGTTTTGACTGATTTATACAGGCATCTGGAGTAGCCTGGCAAGAATGAGCTACAGCCTTACTGTTTTGTCTTTTGGGACCTGGGACGATGGGACCATTGATGGATAGGGCCGCAGATTATTGTGTTTTCCTCAATTGCAGTGTTCTCAACTTCTAATGGGTTAAATGTTCAAATGTTGCATATAAGTGGCCATGAGTGAAAATTGGGCCAGCACCTCTTTTGGGTCAGACACATCATTGAGATAGTGAAAAGGTGATGGTGACACTTTGTTAAAAAAAAAAAATCTTGATTTCTTTAATGTTTTGAATGCATGTTTGCTGCAGAATAGTATTTTCTGGTTTTGTTGATGCAGGACTGTAAGAATTATGAACATGAAACAGAGAGGGAACTAAATTTTAGAACCTTAACAGTACAAAACTCTGGGATATATACCTGTAAAATTTTAATCAGTCATGAAGGAACGATATACCACAACACAAATACAATTAAACTTGTAGTAGAAGAAGGTAAGAAAGCTTTCTAAAATTTTGAAGCATACTTTTTGGTTCACTTTACTTAGGAAATTTTTAATTGCAGTTCTCATTTGATAATATATACCAGGGTGACCAAATCTGAACCACTTCAGAATAATTTGAGAAGTGAAAAAGCAGAAGTTAAGATGAAATATTACCAATTTTGGAAAATGTATTTAGTATGTTTTCCCTGCAGTTGTTTGTTTTCTTTTTTAATTTTTTGTCAAAATAGCTGCTCTAAGTAAGTCATACAAACTTAAATTGTACTCTGTGTATATATATATATATATATATGTGAAAAAAATTCAAAAAGACATACTGGATTCTAAGCTACTCAGTAACACCAGAATCCAGATATTGCTCTGTGAATTCAATGGAATGTTTGTGATTAATTTTATATATTGAGCAATTATGTGACTTTTACTGTGGAAGAATGTAAGTGAGGCATTACTTCAATACTTTTTATTTTAGATGCACCAGAGGCTTTCACTTTGGAGATAGTTGGACATCATGAAGTGATTGAAACAGAAATAGGTATGAAATTAATAAAGAAATCTTTGAGGTAATGACTCTACCTACATGCTTTTGTTCTGATTTCTTTATGGCTGATGGTCTGGATAAGTATAATTAAACTAATTGTCTGTGCATCATCCTGTATGTGGTCTAACCTCACATCTGATAATATTTTGCCTAGTGGCTGATACACACGTGCACTAAATGTACCCTTTCAGAGGCAGAAGCTGAAGTTTCTGCTACAACCTGAAAGAGAAGGTGGTGGTGGTGATAAAACATCTCTCCGTGGCTTTCTTTTGTAAAGAGAAAACGCCATGAAGCAATGTGTAAAAGATGTATGGTTTACTCGGTGAACAGCAGTAATGAGTAATCCCACTGATACCTGATGTGGTTGAGAATGTTATTCTTCAGGGAAATGAGGAGTGTGAGGTGTGACAGTCCTGGCAATGTGTGCATGTATATCTGTACTGTCAAGAGATCTTATCTGTGCTTCTAGCTGGAAGTAGGTTAGATAAAATGATCTGCAGGCTTCTCACAGTCTTGGACAGGATCCAGGATATTGTGATTGAGGCTGTAATTAACTTTTTAAAACAGAAATTTACCAGACTTTTTCATGTCCTCTTCCCTCCCCTTGCTTGGGGGCTTCTCTCTCTTCTGGTTACCTAATTCTTCCTTTCAAAGTCTTCCTCTGTGGCTCATACCTGTATCTCATTTACTAATCTAGGACCTCAGATGCTAATTTTCCTTCCTTCCTACCAATACTGCTTGGTAAGTTATTTTCCCAATCCTATTATGCCTGACACCTTCCAACCGCCCAGAATGCCCTTCCTGCACATTTCCTCCTCATTACTGTGCTTGTCCCAGCTCTTAGGAGTTAGCAGGGTTTGGTATCAAATGCTTACAGTCTACCTGTCTTCCATCCTTTACCTGCCTTGATAAGATCATTTGATAAGGTCATTGAACTACCTGCTAAGTGATGAGATAGATGGCATGGGGGAGACTGAAGGGAATGCAGAATAAGCCAGGTCCACGATCTTTTAAACCTGTCATTGCTTAGGATGGTGTTCTATGATATTTGCCTCCAAATAGCTGTTGTGTGTGGTGGAAATGCTAGAGTTCCAAGGCAAATGATACTAGGTTAGGTCTGTGCAGCTCTAATTTGGATTTCTAAGATCTGAATCTGTGATGGACAGTTTTTCAGCTGGATCTTGCTTTGAAGGTTCTAAAAGTATCTGATGAGTCTTGAGAAATCAGCTTCATGTGCTCTTAGAAAATTGCTGGGTAGGCCTTGCTTACTGGAAAGTATTTGTGCATGATGGTCTGAAGAAGGACTAACACACATTTTTCCTGGCTTAATAAAGAGCATTCTGGATGTATTCCCTGGTAATGATACTGCAATAGCCTAGAAACTGTGGTTGCAGCTAACTTCAGGTCAAGCTTCCCATGACAGAGTTTTAAAAATCTCACACTCCAGAGCTGTAGTCTTCTGCCCTTATTTTTTCCAAGTGCAGACTTGTCCTTTTAGTTTTGCAGTTTCTTCAAACTACTGGAACTTTGTGGGGTGGTTCCTGTCAGTTACACTTAGTGCTTTGAAATAGGACAAGTAGCTGACTGAGTAAATGACTTGTTCATGTATTCAGGAATTTCCAGTTGTAATACTGAGATAAGAATTTATTCTGTGCATGTTCAGCAGGGGCTTTGGTTTTGTTAAGTAATCATATAGTTTCCCTATTATAATTAGTTGCTTGTAATTCCCCTTACCAGTTACTTACTTTTACCTGGTCCTGGAGCACTGGTGATAGGTTTTCCTCTTCTGTTCTCAGCCTGCATAACTGTTTTATAGAATCAGTCTGGTTTATAGAATCATAGAATATCTCAAGTAGGAGGCCATAAGGATCATCAACTCCAATTCCCTTTAGTTCTCTAAAGCCTGAAATTTTCAGGTCTATTTAAACCCACCTGGCTGTGATGATTTATCTGAAAGAAACAGTGGATGACTGTCACTCTGCAGCAGTGCATGATTGCTGAGGTCACCACCAGTGCAGGTGTAACAAGACATTGAGCAGGAGCTACAAAATTCAGAAAGGAGCACAGCTTATAGGACACGTTTCCTGGAAAGCTGACACTTCACTGCGCTGTGTACATGAATCCTACTTCTCACTAAATCTTCCCATGTTATGCCTTTTTTTGTAGGTAAAGAAGAGATATTCAATTGCACAGGTTCCTTGGGTTATTATATGCAAGAAGATGCCAGCCTCTATTGGTTAATTAACCAAACATTTCCGGAACAATGCACAGGTATCCCTGAGAATGAACCTTCAATATGTGAAGAAGAACTCAAAAAACTACAGTAAGTTTCCTGAAAATGCTGTATTTAGTATGTGGTAATGTCCTACACTTTGTGGAACTGCAAATTCACTAAAAACCACAGTCTGATGGTTTTCTCTAGAACTGTTCCTAAAAATCTGCCTCTCAGGGGTTGTGGGTTTCTGTACAGATAGTGTGGCTAACACCATTCCTTGTTGCAGGTTGGGAAACAAGTTCTATATCACAAGGCTACTACGGATTAAAAAAGTAAGAGATGAGGACATGCATCATAATTTCACCTGCATGTTGCAAGCTGATGAAACCACACAGATAAAAATAGTAAAATTGAAAAAAGGTATGACATAATCTAGAAGTACTTTATTAATCAGCCTTCTCAACCCTGAGGGCATTCAAAACACCGCTCCAAATACTGTCTGCTAAGAAAGGTCCTCACACATCTTGTGCTGGACCTAACAACCCCTGGGTGATTCCTCCTGCTCACAGACAGGGACAGGAGTGCAAAGCAAAAGAAATACAGATTACAATGAGCATGTCTTGAGAATATCTTCACAAAGATTTAAGTGTTAAAAATGTGTATTTGGAACTAAAATCCTCAAGGATTAATAATAATTAATAGTAATAATAATAATAATAATAAATAATAATAGTAATGAAGAAAGGCCTGAAAGAGACTAGAGAAAAAAAAAAAAAAAAGCAAAAGTATCCTGGCCAAAGAGATTAAATAGGACATTAAGGACTTATGGATGGGACTGAGAGAGAGGTGAAAGGTAGATAATAAGAGGAAATAATAAAAAAACCTGAAGAAAACTCTCCACAAAAGTGAGTGACCATCATTTGGGGATGCTGTACATCTATGAGGATCTGTAATGTCAGTCTTGATCTCACATACTCTGCACACACATAAATGAACTGTATGTGATTGCGTCCAAGATTGTTTCTCCTGTTTTTTACAGTAAAACATGTTTTGTAGTTTATCTTAGGACCAGTGCTTGAAGCATTAGCAGGAAAGGATTCCCATCAACACTGTGATTTTTTTGAAGTGATTTTTAGCATTAGTATTTGATACAGTAATCTTGTCATATAATACTCTTTTTTAAGGCTGTATTTTGCTTTTTTCCTCTTTTACAGGGAAGATTCAAGACTTGCCAGTGCACGTGTTTACTACTGGAATGGTCCTTGCTCTGCTATTTCCACTTGTTGCTGTAGCTGTGGTGTTTGTGTTTGTGATGTTTAGGGTCGATTTCGTTCTGTTTTACAGAAATATATGCAGGAGAGATGATACTGCTGAAGGTATGACGTTGCTAATGCTGACACTGAAATAAGCATATTGATGAAGAATATTTTCTGTCAGGCTCTATGAAGTAATCAGCTTTGATGAAGACAAAAAAATTATCTTAAATATGGGAGCAGTGTGAGAAGAAACAAGAATATATAAAAGAGAACTTGATGGTCAGGTGCTAATGTGTGCTTGTGTATATGTGTGGCAATGAAAACATAAACACAGTGAAGAAGCTGCCTCTGGAGCAGGCAGTGGAAGGAATGGGGTAGGATGATGGTGATGAGCTCTGTTCTGCTATATTCTTCATCACAAAAGTCGATAAGGATGGACAGATTTTCAGTTATGTATCCATGAAGAGGATGAAGACTGAAATTTTCAGATGGGCAGACTGACACAAGTTTGTTTTCACCTCACTGATGCCCTTCAGTAGGGTGAAGCTTAAAATGTTTCCTTGACTGTAGAGGCCATTGCATGTTTATAAATGCACTTAAGCATGAGTGGAAGTGCACATTACCAGTATCTTACCAGGCAGCAGCTCTGTGGCCTTCACAACAAGCAAATCCAACAGCTACTCAATTTTAAGAATTATTTTTATAAAAATTGTGGTATAAACTTGCTGTATATATAGGTCTGATTTTCTTGGCCTTCCTTCGTCTCTAAATCAGCTTGAATATAACTTGAATGAACTGCAGTTGTTGGAGATTTTTTGGTAATGGGTGGATGTCATTTATGCCTGGCAATGTTATTACCTATTTGTTGATATCAGTTACCACAGTGACTTTCACTCAGGGAGAATCTCTGAGAACCTGAACTATACTGCCCTGCAGGAGCTGCCTCTTGGGGAGTAGGAAATCCATTGACTAGTATCCAGGTGTGGGGTTTCATGGAGTTTACTTTATACTTTCTCTTATAAACTACATGCAGTAAAGTATTCAGAAAGGGAAGAAAAATAGGGCAGTTTAAGAAACAAAGCCACGTGTTCTGGTGTATCAACCTTGATAGTTGCTCTGTGGCAGTGTGGTGGACCTGGCCTCTGGACTGGTCTTTGATTTTCTGTTTGCAAATTAGTGCTCCAACCATGACCAGACATAGCATAGTCTCATGACAGAAATAATTAACTGGTTTGTTCTCTCTCTTGCTGGTGCCCATTCCACTTGATACTCTTTGTACACACAGTGTACAATAAATGTTGAAATCTGCAGTATCACTTAAATAACATTTTTTTCAGGCTACAGACATATTTTTTGCTTCCCTTCATATCTTGATTTTCACAGATGTGTCACTAATTGGTTAAATTAATCTGATTTTATTTTAAAAGCACCTTAATGTAGAAAGAAAATATTTTCAAGTATTTTTCAAGTGCAATCAGAATCTTTTATATCAACCTGAAATTTTTTCAGGACTTTTTTTGAATCTGATGAAAAGTGTTTGAAGACTCTTCAGATTCTTCAGAAGAAAAATCAGGGATTTCTTGATGCTTTACCGTCGAGACACTAAGTTTGAAAATGGGAATGGTGAATCAGATACTGGATTTCTAATGGTTGATAACAAGACAACAATTGTTGATTTATTTTCAGATGGAAAGGAATATGATGCATTTGTGTCGTATCTGAAAGACTGTGTTTCTCCTACTGAAGAAGAGAGAGAATTTGCTTTGAAGATATTACCCATGATATTAGAAGAAAACTTTGGGTACAAGTTATGTATATTTGAGAGGGATGTATTCCCTGGAGGAGGTAAGTGTATTGAATATTCTTGTCATTAAATAGGCTCATTGTTTTCCCATAAAGGTAGAAGTCTATAATTAGAAGGAATTCTGTCACATGTTGTGCATTGAAAGGTTATATTTTTCATTTAATCTGGACTGTGTTCATGCAAAGTTTGATTGCAAACATTTCACATGTTTTATAGTTATATGTATGAATTCATATACTCTTACATACACATGCACACATAAATCACTAATTACAAAGAATCAAGATGAAAATATCAAAGAGCAAGCATCAAGAAGGTTTAGATGAGGACACAGAAGATATCAGATATTTCCCAGTAATAGTGCTTTTGCTCTGCTTTTGCTGAGGGCCAGTGAATGAACTCACATTTATTGCACAGGGCGGCTGATGGCTCTGGTACTAGTTATTCGTAGGTAACTTTTATATTTGCCATATCTTCAGTGTGATGGTTGAAACCATTTTCTGAATGAAACGGGTGCCATAACAAAATAGAAATAAAAAATGGAATTTTGTTTGGCCTATGGATGTATCTGGCATCTGCCTTTTGCTTGAATAAAAGGTACTTTGAATTCCTGTTTAGTCCAAGGATACAGCTGAGGAATAAAATTTCATTGTTCAAACCACAGAACATAAGATCAGTTAGCTTCCTTCATTAAGGAGGATCTTTACTGAAAAAAAATTTCTAACCTGAAAGGAGCCACAGCTCTTCCAAGCCCTTTTTTATTACCTATTCTCTTTCTTTAAGTATAAAAAAATTGTTTACTGAAGTTTGCAGTCTGATTATTTTGATAGTTTTAGCTTATTTCCTTTTCTCTGGTCTGATCCACTGTGAACATGTAAAATAGAATATTTCCTTTTTTGCAGAGGAGCCTTTGGAGTTGTAATACCCTTGTCAGCCTCCAGAAATCTGGGGGTAACTCAGTTTGCTCTTCATTAGGTTAGTTCTGCAGTTTGCTTTGCCTTTCTCTACAAGTCATGTTTTCTAGATCTGTGGTTTGTGGAGACTTTGTCCCATGGTGTTTAAACAAGCACTGGAAGCTGTGCATGAAAATTCAATTTGGTGATATTAAATGGTGATATTTAAAGGGTATTACCATTCACTTTAATTCATCAATTTTCATACCAAAAGTTATCAATCTAAAACACAGTTAAAACTCCTTCTGTCATCACATGCTGGTCTTCTCAGCCCTGGATTATTGGAAATAAATTTGGGTGTTTGGTGTCATAAAGGAAGGTGTAACCCCAAGGTTACAGAATACTTGGAGAGAAGTTGCTGTTTATGCCTTTCTGTGGAATCACTCCAATGGTATCTATTGGGAAAGGGCAAAGAGATGTCTGGTTGGGGGAAAGTTAATTTTGCTGTTGCCTTCTGTCCATGTGACTACTGCCAGACAGCAGTCTAGGGTAGATGGAGATTATAAGTAGGTTTATGTCTGCTCTAGAGAACCAACTTTGACCATACCTGACTTACTTTTCAGAGACTCCTAATTTTTGATACATATTAATCTCTTCATAAGGACAGGATGCTTACATGCTGTCACTTTATAAGAGGGACATTTTTGGTATATATGTGTATTTAAAAGATAAGTTGATTCAGTCCTTATCGTTTCCATTTAATATAACAATAAATTTATCTTTAATTTGCAGCGTTTGTTGATGATATCCATTCATTCATTGATAAAAGCAGAAGATTAATCATTATACTGAGCCAGAACTATGTTTCTGACAGAGCCATATATGAACTTGAGAGTGGACTGCATAAAGCTCTAGTTGAAAGAAAAACTAAGATCATATTAATTGAATATATGCCTATAAGTGACTACAATTTCTTGCCAGAATCACTGTCACTTTTGCCATCAAAGAGGATGGTGAAATGGAAAAAAGATAAATCTCTTCCCATGAATTCCAGATTTTGGAAGAACCTTCGGTACCTGATGCCAGCAAAGCCTATCAAGACAAAGACCAAAGGGCACTATAGTAATCTTGACTTACGCTCAGAAGCTTCTCAACCCTGGACTGAAGGCTCTGACTTTAATGCAATTTTATAACAATTCTGGAGACAGAAGATGTAGCAGAAAACTGTGTGTTTTTCTAACTAATAGAACTAATAAACTAATATTTTGAGAAATAGTTGATTAAGAGGCCAGCTCTGAGGTCTGAGAAGAATACAGAAGTTACTGCAGTGGCCAGGATGATGTTAATCCCAACCAATAAATCCTATCCCAGAGAAGGTTTCTTCAGCAATCTGCAGAGGGTGCAGAAGTTTCATTCTGCTTAGGACTTACCACATGGCATAAAGCATGATGAAAAATATTTTTTTAAACGATTTTCAGTGATGTAGAATGATACTATTTTTACTTCCATATACTTTTTAGACCCTTCAATAAATAAATCAGTTATTGCAATCTCTTATTATTATTTAGATACTCCTTGTTTTGTATTTTGGTATTTTCTAAGGATTGTAAGTAGACCCACACAGCTCCTGCCTTAAAGAGCTTGTCATGCAGGCTTTGGGCAACATCAAGTAGGAAAAAACCCAAGCCAACAGAGAAAAGGGAGGTTAGAAAAAGTAGGGCAGTTTTTTTTTGGATGGTTTAACAGTATTTACTACTGAATTGTACATGGTGTACAATTGGGAGTCATTTGAAGGAATGGTAAAGACTGTTTACATCCTATTTCACTAAGATTGCAAATGCTTGTTTTGACAGGGGCAAGAGGGGGGTGGGATAGAAAAAATAGTATTTTATTAATGGATTTTATTAATTGATATCACGCTGGAATCAATTTCTCAGTGAGGTTGTGGAGTCTCCCTCAATGGAGATAATCGAGAACTGACTGGACATAATTCTGTGCAATGTGCTCTGGGATGACCCTTCTTGAGCAGGAGGTCAGACCAGATGTCCCACTGTTGTCCCTTCCAAACAGACACGTTCCATGATTCTCTTGTATCCTGAGCTACCTTCAGCCATTGCATGTAGGGGATTTAGTTGAAAATGAGGTCTTTGGTGTGTATATAGACTCCTAATCCTTTGGAATTCTTGTCTTAATATTGTTTTTTAAAACATTGTTAGAAGAGCTATCGAAAACTATGCTAATTCTCCCTTATTATTAGCTGCCTGGCAGAAGTTACTAATCTGACATAAATTCCTGGATAAAATGGAACCATCTTTCCTCCTAGCATCAGTGGGGAGAAGTCAAAGGAGAATCATTTTGGAAGATCTTTTGTCAGGCTTTTAGGAAATCATCAAGGTTCTTCCCACTCTTGTCATCGCCTTGCATGCCGTTACTGCTGATTTGGAGAAGGCATCTCTTTTACAGTGACACTTAATTCACAGAGGTGGAGGAGCTCCATTACCTTCTCAGTGTACTTGAAAACACGGAGTGTTCGGTGACACTGCTAATGTCTCAAGTTTCATGGGAATGAAACATTGTTTGTCAAATATCCTTTAATCATGCATAGTTTCTGGAAGATGTTTAGGTAAAAGAAAAAGCTAAGTATAGATTTCCAAAATCGAGACAACATTGTTGTCAGGTTAACAGGTAGATGGAAGGCAAACATCCGCAGTGACCTTCAGATCAGTTCTAGGAGGTCTCCTTTCTGTCAGACAACTAAGGAACTATGCAAATGTTGTTCATAGGCAAAAGCCATTCCCTGGTGTAAGATTTTACTGAAGAAGATTTCTCCTCTGCAGATGCATGCCTTTCCATTCCAAATCTCAAATTTTTCGCAATTTTCAGTTCTTCTGTACCAGTGTTTCCTGTGTTTCCTAGTCACAGATAAGTTTTGACATTCTTTGTCAGTACAGAAATGCCATAAGACATAGTAGGCACATCAATTTTCTGGCCAAACATCTTACAGAAATATTAGTTACTTTCCTAATACTTAACTGAGGTATTAAACTTTCTCCTTGGCCATGTAGTTTTTAATACACTGTTGTCAATGTATTGCCTAACAAATTAAAGGTCAAATGTGTTTTACTACATATGCTACTATGGGTGGTGCTCATGGTTTGTTAACAGCTCTGGACCAAACCTACCCTCTATGAGAATCAGCTACTATAAAGTGAAATTGAATTTGCCATGGATGCCCCCTCACCTCAGCTTGGAGAGACAATGTGACTGCATATACCTGCTACACCTCATAAAGATTGTACCCTAAAGCCTGTGACACCGTACAGAATTTTACTGCCCTGAAATTTTACAGAATAACAGAGGATTATATATAAGGAAGTTGAAAGCTAAATGGCATTAACTCCCAAGTTGTTTGAATGCCAGCAAAGCAGATGCATGTTGAATTACAACATCTGTGAAAGGGGAAGTATTTTTGCACAGAAAGGTATCGTGACACAGTCACTTTATAGATGATCCTCACTGCCCATGATGCAAGGTAAAGGGGGACAAGGGAAATTAAGGATCAGTGGTAAAGAGGGACAAGGGAAATTAAGGATATACATACTCATACTAATGCCAGATGTTGTTCTTACTGCTCTTATATCCTGAATTAGTGACATTAATCAGACCTTGGAAATGCCTGATTTTTGTTTGCCAGTCCATAGAGAAAAGGAACTGCTAATATTACTTTTATACACTGTAGTTGCAATGATTTGCCTCATCATGTATAAGTGAATTCACATGATAGTTGGTTTGAGGTAATGGGTCATTTCAGTAATTTATACTGTGGGTTTTTTTCACTTTTGCACTTAATAAAACTATATTTATCCTTCTCCACATCTATGGCTTCTTTTTTTGCTGTAGCTAAACAAGAAATATAATGAATAAGTGTTTTTAAGGTTGCTTATAGAATCACTGATATGTATTAGCAAAAGCAGATTTAATATAAAAGTGAAAGGAAGAAAAAGTTCATTGCCAAAGCTCACTCTACTATTTACTGGATGGCTAAAGCGCAGAGAAAAAATCCGACTAAAACCTAAAATCAATCAATCTAATCCAAAAGTCAACCCAAAAATTATCTATGAGGAGGCTGGAGGGGGAGTGGGGGGAAGAAAAGATTTAGGGTAAGGATGAAAAAGAATAAGGAAGACCCTCCCATTTAGGCACAAGGTTCAGAGACACAGCTAAACTGAGCCAGTCTTGACCAACAGTTTTGGCCTAAAGGTTTAAGAGCACTTAATTGATAGCTTAAGTTAAACAATTTAACAAAGAATTAATATAGAATTTACTACAGCACAACAGTAACTCATTTACAGGCCTAGCATACATATTTAAGTATTTTAGGAGAGCAACATTCATAGTACATTTACTATAACATATTCACACTTGCATGCACGCAGACCTAGAGAAGTATTTATCGGGTGAAAAGTGCCCCTCAAATTCAGTGAAGTGCTCCCATCAGACAATTTTGGATATTCTCAGTGGACAAAGGGCTGAGCCTCGAGCAGTGGGGGTGTCAGCCCAGGTTCTGTTGTTGTCTGGTGATTCTCCAAGTATAACAAAGTTGAGATTCCCAGAATCTGTTGGAGCAGACACTCCTGTGTCCAGGGCAAGGTTAGTGTTCACTGGATATCTTAGACCTTAAGGGTACATAGTACCCTGTGTAAGGGTACATAGTTGATTTATACAAAATGACTAATGCAGAATTTTATGTTTCACATTCAGAATTCAGTAGATTGATTCCTCAGGTAATTAAAAATAGTTAGAGATTAACAGTTATGAAGACAGATGTGTGTTTCTGGCCTGGAAGATTACTCTAAAACTGTGGTTTTATATTGAAGTTGTCCTTTTCTATCTTGATTTCTTAGAGAAAGGGAAAAAGTTGTTTTGTTTTTAGAGGCAACTATGGTCTGGCTTGCAGACTTTAAGAATGTTCAAAACATTGCCTTTCCTAATGAGATGCTTGTGATGTACTTGAAAAGCAATCAATATTTTGAAAAAGCAAGTATGATTACATTTTTGGGAAATTATTTTCTGAAGTAGAATTAGATTGTGTGTCTGGGTGAAGCAGCAGTTACCAAGCTTTCTGCAGTATCCACAGTTTACAGCTTCCTGTAGTTCAGCAATACAAATTTTCTGAATTTCAGTGAAAGCAGCTGCAAATAGGGCACAATAGTATTTTTTGTTTGTTTGTTTTGTCAGCTAAATATATAAAAAAGTCATCACAGGGTTTTGTCTTTTATTGTCTGATCTCCCATCTGGCCTCTTCTGGTAAGAAATAGTATGTAATTCAGCAAGACAGTCCAGTGTAATATACTTTTTGCTTGTAAACTATTAAATACAAAAAATAGAGTTCAGTACATTGATGCCTTAAGGTATTTCTTAAAGACAATAAAATAGATTTATAGGTTAGTGCTGTATTGCTTTCAACCACTACCATAACTAAGCCAATTTCAGTGGTGTGCTGGAGACCTCATTCTACTATAATGTTACAAAACTGTTTTCTGTTCATTGCTGGAAAATTGTAGCTGTTTTAGGGGTGTTGACTAAGGTGAAGGAATGCTCCATAAGAGGTAATAAAATTACTTGTAATGCTGTACAAACCCAACTTTTTAGAAAAAGTTGGGCAAATTCAGAAGTAACTGTGCCTAGTCTTAAAGAGCAGGCAGTACATACTAGGAATTATCTGAATATCACTAGCAAAAAGATCTCTTGAGGACTTCATTATGAGACTTCATTACGAGACCTCCTCTTTCAGGAAACTTGAAAGTAAATATTTAGCTCTCAGCTGTGATAGCAATGTCACTATTTGTGCATATTGGGTTGATAACCCATACATTAAGCATATTTATTTATGTAATACATAAGGAAGATACTGGCTTTATGGATCAGCAACAAAAATTCATCTACAAGAAAGGAACTCGTACACTGGAAATGAAAACTTGTGACAATCTCAGGAGTGTCTCCAGCTTCCAGCATGATGAAGGAAAGACAAATAATGAATTGCTTCCAATGAAACAAGACCTTGAGACCTGTGAAGCAGAGCCATTAAGGATCCTGGAAGAGTTTAAGTGCTAGGTTGGTAAAATGGCCAGGGAAAAGAATAGGAGCATTTTTACCAAATGCATCCAGGAAAAGAAAAGCACTAGAAAGAAGAGCTGTTCAAGCTAAGGAATGATATGCATACAAGGATGTGTCCTTGAATAAATGTATAATGGGCATTAAAGCCATTATAAGAGTAAGGTCTCCTGTGAGAGTAAAGGAGAAACTACTCTGACCTACTTTTAAGCTGAAGTACAGTAAGTTACTAAAAGAAAACGAAAAATTCGGCGGTGGTCATCTCTGTCAGGTTTATGTTTCTTGGCTTGAAGTAAGCAGGCTGAACTATCATGGAAAGCAAGAAGGAATTGTCATGGAATTTGAGGTGCTAGACAATCTTTTCTAATTAACTGCTAAGAATTGTGAGAGTTAAAAGTTTGAAAGGCTTGCATGGTGAGAATTTGCTTTGCTATTTCTCTGTTGGCATGTGGCTATTCAGTTATTAGTATATTCAAAGTACCTCTGTGGCTCTAGATATGTTAGTCCCTGATGCCCAAGGCAGAATTCACTGTAATGCAGCAAATTGATGGTAAGTAACACCAACTTCCTTTATTTCACAATCACCCACAAGTTCCAGAAACCACCTGTGACTGTATGTTATTTCACAAGGTACATAAACTAGTACAAAATGGACAAAGGTTCTTATTTAGATATTGTTCAGACACCTCTTTCAACAGCAGAATCAGCACCACTGACTCAGTGCAGAAGATAGTTGCAGTGGAAAATTTCTTACCTGCTAGGTGTTAACCATAGCGGGGCAGAGGAGGAGGTAATGTGTAAATGTGTCAAGCCAGAAAAGTGTCATAATAGTACCAGAATAGTAAAAAACCTAATCCTCTCAGGACTGTAAGTCTACACTGCATATACACCGAGATGGTACATTTTCCCCACTTGAGCAGAAGTGAGATGGACAAGGTAAGATAAAGCCCCCAAACTTGACATTCCACAGGGGTGGGGACGTAAAATTTTCTGGAGATATAGCATAAAATGTGCTGAATTTTAGCAGAGTGGGAGGGTGAGTAAAAGGCAAGAGAGGGCGGGGAGAGAGTGGAAGCAGGGAGAATATTCTGGAGTGGTCCTTTACCCTCTTCTTTATGCACTTTGCCTTGCAGTCAAAGATAAATACGAAACTTGGCAGTGCAAATGTGTAAGGCTGCTTTTTTAGTGTCTATATTATTTTTGCAGAAGACAAAAGGGTGAATTGGAGAAGAGGCTTAGCCAAATATTTGGTATTACTTACAAAATTTTCATTCAGTGTGGTAACCAGTATGACATACAACTTAGTCATGTGGTATGTGTGACTGGTGCTCCTGTTGTATTTCTAAAATGTATTTCTGATATAATTGTTGGACTGTTATGCTTAATTTTTGATTGTGGTAAGCCTTATTACTTGGAAACTACAACAATTTACACTTAAAATTAATGAAGTATATTTTATGTCTTTAAGATGCATCTCCATGAAAGAACCATTTTTTTTTTCTGATAATCTGAGTTTGAAAGAAGAAAGGCTTTGAATTCAGCTGTGTTGCACTCTGTAATTCTTTAAGTGAAGAGGGAACAAAAGACCTTTTTTTTTCTATCTGTCAGGACACTTTCAAAAGCTTAATTCTTTATACCGAAATTTCTAGACATAAATGGGAGCCTTTTGTAATTTATAAATCAAACATGTATTTTGCAATAGGGCAAAACATTGACTATAGTTTAGGGGACAATCACCAAGGCTGATCATCAGTGGGCTCAGGTCTGGAATAAGCAGAAAGCTAAAAATGTAGTGGAAGCTGAGAATACAAATCCTTTATCTCCAAATGCTCAGAACCCAACAGAATCAAGCATTCATATTGGTCATTGCATAAAGGAATGTGCATAAACAGAGGCAACATTGAAATCCCCTGCTTTGAGACAAAAAGCCTTTTTAACCTTCTTGTGGCAATAGAGTGATTGACCCAATATGCAGTAAAGATAGATAACATCACATAAGAAAAGAAAACCAAGTCCTATTGTTCTTGAAATAAGTCTGTTGTAAGCTGATGGACAAATATTTATATATCCTCTATTGGAATAGGGATCATTGGGATCTGAATTGATGGCAAAGTGGTCTCACATGTTTCTATGTAGTTTGGGCACTCTGCAGTCAGTTTTTTATGGGTTTTACATCCAAGTAGGAAGCCTGAAAGAGGGGCTGGACTGTGTGGGACTATGTATGCTGAAGTGCTCTGCCTTCCTAGCAGGTCCAAGAGGGGCAAGTCACAGAGGGCTCTAATTCTTCAGGGCTTGTCTTCCCTCTCTGCCAAGGCTGTGTTTGGCTAACTAGTGAGGCTGAGCTAGGAGGACACAGCTAGGAGGTAACAGTGTCCCCATGTAGCTCTCACTTACAGTGGGTGTGGAAGGTAGCTGAGGACATTAATGATAAGGAGAACTCAAGTCTTACTGTGGATATTATTGTGTATTGGAATAATCTTGTAGATCTCAGATAGTACAGATTTTTGTGAACTGTTTAAAATCAGCATATGGAAAAAGAAAAAAAAAGGAAACATTACTCTTCTTAAATTAAGCAAACTAAAAAAATCCAACACAATTTTGCACACAATGCAAATAGAAGATTTTAGAACCCAAGAAGCTTTGATCTCTTACTAGGAGGTGTTTCCCCTCTTCTTTTTTTACAAGAAAGCGACCCATAAATTTCAACATAATGCAACTAAGCTAAGAAAGGAAGGGATGATGACAGTGAGGTAGAGGAAATTCCTGTAAAGGAAACAAACTCAACACAGTGCACAGCTAGAACTAACCACAATTCTTATCATCTTATGTAGGATGTACAAGAAAGATCTTGAGATAATTTTTAAAAATTATATGTCTTAAATTCAGATTTTAGCTCTCCCTACCCCGTCTGCTTGAAGGTGAGTTCATTTTATTGCCTTTGAATGTGCATTTTAAAATAAGTTGGCTTTAACTGCTTGGTCAGGCAAACAGTAGTGTCTTAGTAAGTAGCTTCATTAAATATCCTTTTCAGTTTTGTAGACATGGTAAAGCTTTTTTCATCTGCTGTGTGGCTGTTACTAATCTTAGTCCTAGAATCAGATTATGCTTGCCCTTCCATTGAATGCAAGACACAGGAATTGATAGCTTGATGGTGAAGTGATTTTCATCAGAGTAAGAATTGTGTTATGGAAGGATTGTGGTATACCACTCTTTACTAGACTCCAGAGATATCCTGAAACTTAGCACAGCTCTCAAGAAACTGATTTTTATTTTTTTGCTTATATTTTATATAAAAAGCTGAAGAAGAAGAAGAGGCTGAAAGGAGACCTCATCACAGTGTACAACTGATCTCTTCTCTGTGGTGACCGGGGACAGTATCTGGGGAGGTGGCCTGAAGTTGTGTCAGGGGATGTTTGGGGTTGTGTTTTAAAAAAAGGTTCTTCATCCAAAGGGTGGCTGGGCACAGAAATGGGCTTCCCAGGGATGTGGTCACAGCACCAAGCCTGACAGAGTACAAAAAGGGCTGGGAGTTGGACTCAATGATCCTTATAGGTCCCTTCCAACTCAGCTTATTCTATGATACTGTGGAAACTCTATGATATAGAAATTTACTCATTTTTTCTAACAGTTCTTTAGTAATTGAAACATAGTTAATGTAATACAATTCCTATTTTTCACTTGCATTCTTTTAGCACAAGAAATTATGTGAAAATCACATTAAGTTCCTTATATACAATACTTTTCAATTAAGTAGCACCTTAAATCCCTAGACTAAGAATATTATGATATGGTTGTGTACATGGCAGGAGAAGGTGGAGAGACTTTTGATAACAAGTTGCCTGGAGTAGAGTCCTTTCTTTCTTTGGTAGATACTGATAAAGAGAAATCAGTCCTTGAGTAAACTGAGTCACCAAATCACCCAAGTCCACCTGCAGTGCAAATGCACCTGAATGATGATTGCTGTCTGCTCCTGCTGTGAATTTCCCTGTTCTTGTCAAGCACACTTGCAAGATGACAATTATTAATTTCACATCCTACCATACTTTTTAAACACTATAAAAATGCAAAGAGTACAAGATTCTCTAATAAAAATGTTATCAGTTAGCACAAAAAACCAAAACCAAAACCAAAACCAAAAAATCCCCAAAACGGCAGCGGTGTATTTTCCTGTGCCTAGCTAAAGACAACAGAAAAATTGAAAAGATTGCTAACCAAAGGTGTAACATTCATTAGTCAACCTTCCCTTTAGCACTTCTTTCCCATTTGTGGTGATCTTTTGGAGCTTAAAGAAGGTATCATTAGTGTGGCAGCAAATTGGCAGAACAAAGAGATTATACATCACTGGCATTATTAAATGCTTTGTGAACAGTCACTTCATGCAGTTTCACTACATGTGGCCTGTATGTCCCCAGTTACACACAAATGGGAAGTTGGGAAGTAAACACTCCCACTGCTTATCTTGTGCCAGGTCAGGTGCTCTTCAAATAGCTTCTGGTGGCTTAACAGAGCCACAGGCGGCTTAATGAGTCACCAGGAAGGACCAGAGCTGTCACAGGAGAGAGACGGGACCATTTACCTGGGGTCAAGAGAGAGTGGAGTGCAGAGGACAGAGAAATACACAATAAAATCATAGAATAAGCTGAGTTGGAAGGGACCTATCAGGATCATTGATTCCAACTCCTGGCTCTACACAGGACACCCAAGAATCACACCATGTGCCTGAGAATGTTGTCTGAACATTTCTTGAACTCTGTCAGGCTTGGTGCTGTGACCACTTCCCTGGGGAACCTGTTCCAGTGTCCAAGCACCCTCTGAGTAAAGAAAAATTTCCTAATATCCAACCTGAACTTCCCCTGACACAGCTTCATGCGGTCTCCTCAAGTCATGTCACTGGTCACAAGAATGAAGTGCTTGCTCCTCTGCTTTTGACAACAGCCACACCTGCTCACCTGCTCAAGGGACTACATCACTGAACCACACAAAAGGCCCTTGGATCTTGATTGCTACTGGCACCAGCATGCCTTTGACATGTGGGCTGTTGGATGACATAACTCAAAACACCATTCTTGGTTTTATACAGAATTAACATGGCTAGAGATACAGCCTCAGTGGATACCTTGAGCGAGGTCTTCACAGTTGTCATAAACCCAGATTCGAGAGTCAGGATCTGTTGATCTTTTATCAGTGGATAAAAAAGTTGGATAAACTTATGGAGGGCTTTTTCCCAGTGCTGGTAGCAAACTCACTTTATTGAGACATACATAGAGACTCGGAGATTCAGGATGATTTAAAAAAAATATGTGGGGTGATGACGGTTGGCAGCCAACCTGTAACAAAGCACCAGGATGAGGTGAGACAAATGAGTTAACTTACTTCCTGTGGCCTCTGAGCATAAAAAATAGGTAATTCCATTCACTTGCAAGGAATAGAGATTCTGAAGAGAATGGTGACTAAAAGTTTTCCTCTCTACACAAAAGAGCTGCCTGGAAAAGTGCAGCGTGGGAGTTCTCATCACCTCTCTCTCTAGCTCAGTGTGCACTGGATGCTCTGTTGATGCTAACCAGTATGAGTAATGTCTGCTTTGCATGAGGTGCCAACAGACAAGGGATTAGCCTTTGCCCAGCCTCTCTGCTTTTCCCTTGGGCTGACTCACTGCCTCTCTGGCACTGCAAATGCAGAGTCACTCTATGGCCAAAGGAAAGAAAAAAATCCCTTGAGGGCTCTGTTGCACAATGTACAGCTGTGCAAATGGAACAGCAGCAAAGTACTTTGCTCCTGAACCAGGCATTGTGCCTTTACTCCTGGAGCAGACACTGCAGATGTGTCAGTCACAGACATTGGGTATGTCCTTACAAAATACCCAGATTAAGCCATGGCTGTTGAATATGCACACTGGGCAGCATGCGGATGAGAAGGCTATGGGATGCAGATCAGACTTCTTAGTAGAAGAGGGAAAACATATCAATATGGTTTGGGGTTTCACCTTGTACAGGGTACTGTCATATGGGAGTCTGGATGCATCTGAGTGCTTTGTGAACCTGCTCCAAATCCCCTGGGTGTTCCCAGTCTCAGTTTACAGAGCAGCCCACAGAGCTGGTCCCTTATGCTGGTGTGGGTGTTACCCTTCTCAGCAGGGCTATTCAAGCACAGCATTGTAGTACAAAAGTAAGGCCTGATGCTGTACACACAGGCACACCACGGTGGAGGAGAAGGGGCTTTAGGTTGCTCTGCTGGCCCTAGTAGACATCCTAAGTATGCCCATTTTGGCTGGTAACAAAGCCTACTAGGAGCATGTCTCTTGAGGGAAAGAGAGAACCAAACACATGTGCCCATACAGGACATGCTTTGAGGGCTTTACTTCTGCATGGTTCTCCAGTTGCATGGGCTCAATTCCATTTGCAGCTGCAGCACGTCTTCAGATTTGTTTTAATCCCAAAGGAATACAATCTGGGCCTGTTGACCTTCAAGCTACAACAGCGCTCCATGGATTTGTGGTGCCATGTATGCCTGTCTCAGTCTGTTGCTGATAGGCATCATTAGCTGAAGGCTGATGATATTTGATATCTTACCTCTCATCTTAGAGAACATGCTCCTATCAAAAGAGGAAGGATCTGCATTTCCATTCTAGCGGTGGAGTTCTGCATTGTTGTAGAGATGATTTGGAAATTCATCTGTAAGCAATTTTATGCAGGTGTATTTAGAGAGACTGTTGCATATTCTTGATTATTATCCATTCTGTATTTCAGTGAAATAGTATGAACAGGAAAAGTGCTCCAAACCCCATTTTTAAAAAACACAGTATGAAGAAAATAATGTTTGCAAAGTTTCACAGAGGTACACAAGGAAATATACTATTTTATTTGACTCCTATTTACAAAAAATCTACCCTGTTTTCCTCTTTTGCAGAGAGCAAGATGATTCTTAAAGAAAATGTCTCTGAATATCAGCCAAAATTGATAAAGAAAACAATGCTCACTTTGTGCTGGATATTAACACTATTTGTCAGTGGGGTAGAAGTTAGAGAGATTAATTTGCCAGGTAAGAATCTGCTTCAGTGATATTTGGTGTTCGTGGTGCTTTCTGAAAACTTAGAAAAGGAGATTTTAATTTTTCCTTGCTTTTGCACAATGTCCATGCTTGTATCAGACAAATAGCCTTTCTGCAAGCTTCTGAAGTATACCAGCTACCCTAAATTTGACTCAAAAATCAGTTCCGCAATGAAAAGGATAAAGGTTAAGGAGAGTCTCTGAGGCCTAAATGAAACAAATTAATTGCATCTGTGATTTAGGTCTCCAGTATCTGGTCTAATGAGGAAGGGACTGAGGACAAGGAGGACAAAAGCAGAAAGAGAGTGATTTATCAAAGCCTTCCACACACACAATATATCTAGAGGATCTTGATCCAATTTAGTGCGCAGAGATAAAATGAAACTGTAAAGAGTTTCCCAGGTGGGCAGGTAGGGAACAGATTTCATGACCTCCCTTCTGCTGGGGTGAAATCCTGCCATACTTTCAAAGATCACAGCAGCCTAACTGGCAGGATGGGCATTAGAATGGCTGACCACATCTTTCAGAATAAAAAAAAAAAATGTGTAATTTTAGAGGCAGTTGCTGAAACATAGGAGGGTAAATATTTAAAAGAAGCGAGACAATGATGTTTGTCAATCATACCTTAAATAGGGCATGTGGTGGACAGGTTCTGCTTCTTCAGGCTTATGTCAGTCCCTTATCCATGAATATGGTGAGATCAAGAACAGCTGCATCTGCATTTCTACAGAGTTGAGGTTTAACAGGTTAGCACGCATGCAAAAGTCTGCACATCACAAAAACTCTTCACATTAAGCTTCTGAAAATAGGTCTAAGAAACCTTTGGAACCTTTGAATAAATTTTCAAGAACATTGGCAAATTACATATTTAAGAAAACCTGTTTTTTATTAGTCCATGTGCTGTGCTGATCACATAAAGAAATATTCAACACAAGAAAGATAAGGTTCTATTTTTGTTCCTAATTTTTATTTTTAATTTTTTCACCATGACTCTGCATTTTTTCAGATGGTACTGATATCTTACTGTCCTGCTTTTCAGGATGTTACCATGTTGAACCTCAAATATGGTATCGTGCAATTAATGGTGAGGAGTTTGTTCTGCAATGTGCTTTACCAGATAGAGATGCTACCAACATTTATAACAGCTCACTTCTAAATCAACATAAGGTGAAATGGTTCTGGCATCAGAAAGATAAAGAGACACTGAAGGACATCAAGGAAAGCTCAAACCTGACTTTCCAAGGGGATGCACTTTTCTTTAAACCAATAAGGCACAGTGCTTCTGGAGTGTACATCTGTAGGATATGGTAAGTAACAGCAAAAAAGTAATGGAGTAAAGGAGCAAAAGGTTTCTATTCCTATAGGAGAATTATTGAGAATTATTGGTTTGCTTGTGTATTAAGTGTTTAACCTTTTTTTTTTTTTTTTTTTTAACATCACTCAGGGGAAAAATCCCATGTCTCAAAATTGTTTTGGATGTTCAAACAAAGACGGAAGCAAAATGTTCAGGTTATGACACAAATATTCTATATCTGCTTGCTGGCAATGGGAATTCAATAACCTGTCCTGGGACAAAATGTTACAGCCACATAAAAAAGCAGGATGTGAAATGGTACAAGGTAAGAGTCAGTCTATTGAGTACTGGAAACTGCTGAGTGGAGGTGGAGCTTCGGATCTAGTTAATGTCTGTGTGCCATAGTTCTTGAACTCTTCTTTGGCAGGCAATGGCAAAGAAATTCAATCCAAAGGTAGAATCTTGGACTGATATATATCAAGTATTTAAGGAAGAGTTTTGAAGAAATTTGCCACACCCAAAACATTATTATATAAAACAGAAGCCAAGAAAGGCTTGGTTTCAGCTAAGGAATTTAAGAAATTGAGAATTAAAATAGGCTTTTTACAAAACTGACATGATTGAAATGCAACATTTTAAGTTTTGTTTTGACATTTCAAATTTTGAAAATATCCAATATACTGAAGAAAACTGGCATTGTTAGACAGAAAATTATTTTAAGAATAATGTTTCGAATTCTTCTTTCCAATAGACCTATTTTAAATGAAACACTATTCCACTGAACCACTACTGACTTAGTGTTTATAAGGATGGTAATATAGCATCCAAACCTGTATAAAGGAGCAAAAGAAAATGACTAAAATTTGCAATTATGCATTTTCCTGTCTGGTATTATTCACATTATTTTATTCTATCAGGTAGAATTATGATCTAGTCAAAGTTATTCTGCATTTGCTTTAAATTTTTAAATAAGGTATATCTTTACCTACATCTTGATCTGAAACCCACCGATGTTAAGGAACATCTTCATATTTGCATTACTGGATATTTTAAGGAACTTGATTTAAGGAAAATTCTTGCTGGTTTTGGTGGAATATGAATATAATAAGCCAAAAAATAGGGACGCTTTTAAAAAATAGACCATTCTCGTGCTTCTAAAAGTAGTGACAGTGTTCTCAACCTCAGACCATCCAAACTCATGGTTTACTTCTCATAAAATAACTTGAAAATGTTTTCAAAATTATTTTTTATAAAAGAAAAAATACCTAGTCCACCAAAAAGTGGTCCTTTTTGTTGCTCTTTGGTAATAGGACTTTAATTTAGATTAGCTTTGTGATTCCATATTTTTGCATCAATCATACATTATAAATAGCTTTTTAAAAATCAAAGTTTTCCACATATTTTTCAGTATAAATGAAAAATGTCCTCAGGCTCCTAATGTATCCCTTTTTGGGCTTCAGTGGAAAAACTTTGGTTTTTTCCATGAAAATCCTGTCCAAATATATTAAAATATAATTTACTAACAGCAACAACAGCAAGAAAAAAACCCAAACCTTTAATTCTTAGACATTCTTTTCATTAGGATGGTCATCAGATAAAATACAGGAAAAGCAGACCGAGCCTAAAACTTAAGCAGAATGAAATCTACTTGAATCCAACCTATGACAAAGATGCTGGGACATATGTGTGTGATTATACTCTGTCTGAAAACATTATCAAGTGGACAGTGAGAACAGCAGTAACAGTAGAAGTCACTGGTGAGTAATATAATAACCCAGAATAAATACCTGAAGTATGTTTTCTTTATTATGTTTATTTCTGTCTTTTGTTCAGGCTCTTGTTCTGAAAATCCCATAAATTGAATTAGCTACAGGATCATTCAAATCCTCTTCCAAGTATTCAGAGGACATCTTGGGACACCAACTAGAGCATCCAATAGTAATAGCACTAGGTCCTGTAGGAAAGTATAAATCTATTCTATATCCTGAACTGTATGGATGCAGTACAGCTGTTTCTGTATGAAAACAGCACAGGACTATTCCTTAGCATCCTGGTGGAAGGTAGGCCACTCTGTGAAAGGGATAACAAAATTTAGGGAGCAAAAGAAGTGTGTCAAGTGAGGCAACCTGTTTCTATGGTTTAGTGAAGAAACACTCCTTTGAAGCTTCATGGATATTTCATAATGAGGATATTTTCTGAAATAGGTGATCCTTCTTTCCACAGGTATTTTAAGAATTTGGTTCTAAGAGTTCAAGGGAAAAATGTATCCATCCCATCAGGACAGGAAACCATGTCTTACCAACCTGTGAGAATTCTGTGTGGTGGCTTAAAATACTCTTGCTCTTTCACTCTTCCTTCTTGCTTTATTCCCGCAATATTCTCCAGGCAGGCTTGGACAACTTCTGCTTTTATTCTGATCTGACTGTATTTGAGCTAACACATTGTCCTTCTCAGTTCTTTTCCCTCACTTTCTAGAGCAATCAGAAAAACTTAAAAGGTACCATATGCATCCTATAACCTTGCAGACTGAGGTGAGACCCTCTTGCAGTGGAGGTCTTCCATGACAGGACCTGAGGGAATGGCCTGAAGTTGTGTCACAAGAGGTTTAGGGCAGATATTAGAAAAATGTCTTTCACCCAGAGGGTGGTTGGGCACTGGAAGAGGCTCCCCAGGGAAGTGGTCACAGCACCAAGCCTGACAGAATTCAAAGAGTGTTTGAGCAACACTCTCAGGCACAGGGTGTGACTCTTGGGAATGGTTTTGTGCAGGGCTGGATGCTGAACTCGATCCTGTGGGTCCCTTCCAACTCAGCTTGTTCTGTGACTCTGTGATATATTTCTCTGCTGTGACCCAGTAAAAAAAAAAAAAAAAAAAAAAAGAAAACAAAACAAAAAACCCCAAAAAACCAAAAACAAACAAAAAAAACCCCAACCAGAATGACAAGCTGTTATGATGCACCATTTCCTGCAGTATGTGACTTTCCTGGAATATCAGAGCTGTGGGTTTTATTGTACAACCTGTGGGTGTCATTATCTGTACCCTGTGGCAGCCTGAGCTTTGAAAACAACATGGCTATTTTGGTACAAGTATCTGTGCTTGTGAATGGGGTGTGCATGTGCTCTGTTTGCGCTTACTGGGCATGAAAAGAGGTTTGGCAGGGGACTGGTACGAGGATTTCACCCTTCAGGGGGTTTTACAAGGAGGGGGATTCCTAATTTTTTAATCCTAAATAATTTAAAGCACAGACTAGTTGCTGAGCTTCTCAGCTCATGTAAGAGTGCCTCAGTGTAAATGAGATAGGAGATGTTTGAGTAGCTGTGCAAGTTTTGTTGTCCTTCTCTTGGACTTAGGTGTCTAAATTCCACCTAAATCTTGAAAAATTAAATCTTAAGTTATTTTCTTTGCTTTTCTACACTGCCAATAACTTTATACTTAATTACATTCTTGTTAATTGCAGCAAAAAACACTATTCATCCACCAAACCTTTTGTATCCCAATGGTGTTGTGATCCTCGAAGTAGAAGTTGGTAAGTTTCAATTCCTCTTCTAGAAGAAAATGAAAATATTTAAATGAGGTATTGATAAATAATGACAGATCTTGATAAAGCAAACCAGCTTTGCTTTCTAGGCTATTTAAGAGAATAATAATCTGCAGGCATGGCTTTTCTGTGTTCATTTTTTCCAGGCAAGCCACTTGAATTGGAATGTCGTGTACAGTTTGGGTTTGAAAGGGTTTCTCCAATGAGGGTAACATGGATAAGAAACAACGAAGAAAATGTAAATGAGAAATTGAATCAGGAAACAACGTGAGAACCTCCTCCTCCATCCCCCCTAGTAGTCTGGTTATTACCACCACAAGCAACTGTAAAAGTCCTTCTATAACAACTTTACTGAATACACTTTATTGAAAAACTTTAGAAGGTTCTTTACTTTCACCTAGTAATGCATATGTCCATAAGCAAGGGACAGGCATGTGACCTTCGCATACAGAACCACATATTGATGCCATAAAACCAAGAACTCAAACTCTGCATAATCTTAGCTCTTAAAACTTTAGCTCATAGATGATTTCAACATAAAGGGTTCCTGCTTGCCTTTCCCTGCATCAGTTGTTTTCAACTGTTCTTGTTTTCAGGTGTTCTTGAGAGCACAGTCTCTGCTGTGCCTTGCTAGCAATTCACACAATCTGCCTTTGGAAGCTGTCTCTGAGTGGGGAATTAATCACACCATCAAAACAATACTGTGGACATTGAAGGGAGTTTGTGTGTCTCAGACATTGGGGTGTTGCAGACTAGGTCTGAGGAGGGCTTGCAGCACTGAATTTCAGGACACTGAATTTTGAGAGTCCTCCCTGGTGAGAATTAACCAGACCCTGCAGAGAAGAAACATGTAGGGGAAAGGTTTCCTGTGAGCTGGGGCAACCCCTGTAAGTCATTACACTTCCCTTTCCTTCCTGTTTTCATTCACTTACTCAGTGTTCAACTTGGGCAAGCAACAGAATAGAGGCAAAACAGGCAAATCTGTATTTCACCACGCAGCCCTGAGTCAACTTTATGGGTAAACTTTCTGTACACTGGGGGAAGCAAAGGCTCTGGTGTCACTGCTAAAATCAAGTTCATAATAGGAGTCATATGGGAAAAAATAAGTTATGATATCACACACACTCATGAGATAGACTGCAAATTTTCCTAACTTCAGAATGTTTAGATTTGGAATATTCTTGTTAACAAGTTTTTAGCTGTTTTCATGGGCAGAGTTTCTGTTTATTTTTTAAAATACAGACAAGTGAAACATCCCCAACAGATTTCGGTTGAATCCTTGCCTATGGTCACACCTATATATCTTGAGGTAGCAGAGGCAGAGCCATGGACTACTATCATTTTGCAGTGGCATGATGTGAGAAGACTTTTGGGATGACCCAGAGATTCTTATACTTATGGCTTTCAGCAACTCAGAAACCCTGGGTATTCTGGAGTGATTGCAGATACAGATCTCTTTCCCATATCCTTCACTCAACCCTGAAGGGATTCCTCAGTTACCTCTTCATTTCCTGTACTTCTGTCCCTTATTTCTGTCTTATTCTGTTTGCCTATCATGTCCTTGGGCTTTTTACCCCTGTGCAAGAGGCTGAGCTGCTCAGTCTTTTGGCCAGCTAGTTCTCTCTTTTTGAAGTTTTATTTCTCTGCATTTCTTCCAGGTGAATATTTTACATCTTAGAAAACTACAAGTAATTTATAGAAGTAAAGGGGAATATATATTGAAAACTATAAATATACTATAAATAAAGTGGTAAATATTTTGCTGAGTAGCTGAATTAAGGATAAACCTTCCAGTCCTTAGGCTTATCAAAATATTTTCTTATGATGCTAGTTAGTATTTTCTTACCATGTATAAACCAAGAGAAGGTTCCAAACCAGAATACTGGATTACTATTAAAAGTTCAAGATGAATGTTAAGAAGTTGCAAGCTTCTTTGCTTTTGTGTGTAAGACATTAGGAAATTGTGCGAATGAACAGCAAAGGTATCATGCAAATACACTTTTTTTTTTTTTTCCTCTCTAGTGTCTATCCGAAAGGTTTGAAAGGACACACACTTCTTCATGTTGCAACTTTGAAAGAAGTTACTGAAAAGGACCTCAGAAGCAGCTTCACTTGCTTTGCTGAGAATTCAGTAGGGAATGCCACTGCTGTGATCCGGTTGAAAAGAAAGAAGAGAGGTAAAGCTATCAACTGGTGACTATTTACCCCTGAAGACAAATTTTAGTTTACTCTACTGCTACTAATTAATTCTCCATTGACACTGGCTTTTAGCCAGCAGCAGAAGTTTCTTGAACCTGAGTGGGAAAAGTTTGATTTGTTAGATGTCTTGAAAGCCACAGTATTTTGAGGATTACTCAGAAGAACAGGGCTATCTGAGGACTTACTGCAGGCAGGTGAGCCACGTGGAAGTTAGAGAGTAACTGGAAAGAAGAAGAGGAGAGTGCAATCTCTGAACATTTATAGGTAATCTACTAAACTGAAGCAGAGAGGCTGCTGAAACCAATAGAATTCCCTGATTTTTCTGTTTATTTCTGTTTATTTTCCCAGTCATTAGAGTGCATGTTTCTGAGAAGTTACCATAACTGATATGATTGTGGCAGTCTTTCAAGGCACAAACCAGAATCAGTGTGGAAATTAAAGTGTTAAACCATAGTTCAGAGGGGAGGTTCATCACTAGGGTACAACAGGAAGCTGCCAGAAGGGCACTGTGTGCAGCTGTATCTGTTCTGATGCAGCTTTTCCATCTCAGGTGATGGCTATTTTCAGCGTTGCTGAGTGTAAAAACTATTTTCTCTGTGCACTCTGTCATAGATTGGTTTTTCATACCACCAAAGAGATGCCATGATAAAAAGGTCGCTGATGGTAGACTGCAACTTTGTGTTAAGGTTTGTGGCTACATGAGATCTTGACTTCCCTAGATTTTGCCAGAGGGACAAGAATAAAGATTCTGTAAGATGGTTTGTCCCCATTTCTAGACGGAATTTTTATCTAAGTGTCAATATTATTTTGGAAACTTGAGTTATGATAGGCTCTTTTCTTTCTGCAGTGTTGTTCTTATATGTACTATGCAGTGCCATTTCTACCCTATTTGCATTTGTTTTGTGCACTGTCTTTATTTACCAGCACTGGATTGAAATAGTGCTGATGTATCGAAGTTATCTGGTCCACAACAAAAGTACAGAAGGTAAGAAACCTTGTATAATATTAATTTGCTCTAGTTTTTCTACTGCCTTTTACCATGTGGGATAATCTGATATGAATTACTCATTTAATTAAGTTAATTTAATGAGCCTGTTCTTTTTGAGCCAGTACAAAGTCTATTAAACCTTGCAAGATGCTCAGTGAATGCAGATGGAAAAAAAGTCAGATAGTGTGAAAGAAATATCTAACACCAACAGAAACGCCAGTTAGACTTTTACCTTAATTTACCCATAGAAGGCAAGAGTAGGAAGTTGAATTTTGGCAGTCCATTTGCAGGGAATAATTTAGCATCTCCAACATTTCAAAATCGTTCTCTGAAAAAACATAGTAAAGGCATAACAAAGTAAAGGATTCCAGGGTCTATTTTATTTTTCACTTAAAGCCAAAAAGTTTCTTAGAGGAATAAACAAAAGAGAGAAATAAGATGATAAAGGCCACCAACTGGCAAATGAATGCTCGGGAAATATTTGTATTTCCTAAAATCTTTGGAAACCACTTCACATTTGGACCAGAGTGATTAACTTTTGATTTTTCAAGTCTTAATAGTAGCACTGCCCCATCACCTCAGCTAAAACAGGCCCCTGAAATAGCAGGCAGTAAAAATGTATCGGGAATCACTATGACTACTTCAAAGAACTTAAGGTATGATTTTCTTAAATGTGTTGAAAGAATTCTGATAGTTTGCACCTGAGAAAATTTTTCTAAAAATCCTTGCATGTTGACGCAGTTTGAGGTAGGGATGTCTGTTTTTATGTTTGTAAATTTATCTCATATGTGAGTGTGAAACAACTGTATCTAGATACCTCTAAGTACATGCAGAATTGGAAAATTAACTGCCCTTCTGGAAAGCATTTTTACTAAAGCACTAAAGCATTTGGCAAAGGCAATTTGGAAAATCACTCAAAATTTCCCCTCTATCTGGTAACAAAGTGATTTAAGGACGTGTGGAAAGTCCCTTTAGAGCACACCCTGCATGTCAGCAGGACACAGACCTGCTTGTGCACTGAAGCTGAAGACACCATTGGTTTCACCATGACAGCCCCTGTCCCCTGCCTGTCCCCTGCTTCTCAGGTACCTTGTGCACACAGCTCCATCTGCAGTATGGGGGTGTGGGGGTGTGCAGACCAGCCATGCATACCCAGAGAGTTTTCTGCCCAAGGGAAATGTGTTCTCACCTGCAGGATTATGTCCTTCTCACTTCATGGATGTGTCAAGTCACCTGAGGTCTGAAAGGACTTGCTCATACAGCAGCAAAACAGCAGTTATGAATTGATTTTGCTGTTTCTTCCTGTATAATTTCTTCTCCTGTGTCCTTCTCAGCACAGAATCAGACAATTGAATAATCCTACAAGATTGGAAGGTACCCTGGGTACCTGCTCAAAGCAGAGCCAACTTAGGTTGTGTAGAACCTTATGGAGAGAGAAACCACAACCCCTCTGGGGTTAATTGGCCTCCTTAGCCAATTCAAAGATATCTCAAAACTCCTGTCTTCTTCCACATGTATAAAGAAATAATGCAGGAGATTTGATACTAACATTTTTAGAACACGTATGCCATCACTTTGCTTAAGTCAGGTATTCTTCATTTCCTACACTTCCAGCATCTTAAGTACAGTACCAAAAGTTCCTCAGCTTGTAATTTTCTTGTGCAATTATGTGAAAATATGGCCTAATGGTGCTTATTTTGTATTTATTTTTAACTTACCACTGTAATAATAATGTTATAAAGGCATGTGTTTGTTAGTGGTTGTGGTCTAATAAGATTGCAGTGACCTCTGTGGGTGAAATGAGGAATACCTGGCTTGTAGTGCAATTTATTGTTATTTAAAATCTGTTTTCAGGGGAGCCTCAATTTAAAGTATAAATGAAGTTCAGCAAAACCAGCCTAGTGAACCTCTGGCCCACCTTTAATTTCCACATTAGTCCTGTGTGCCTACTGCTGGTGATTCACTCTTGTGGGCCCAAATTGGCTCAGCTTGGCAGAAAAATAACTCAGTAAAAGACAGTGTGTAACCAGCAAAGTGAATCATCTCCCCCTGTTATCACAAAAGCTTCGGCACCAGTAGAAGGATGTGATTGAAAGTGTGTCTGGGAGCAGAGGGGAGGAGCAGAGGTTCAATATGTGTTGTCTGATCACATTCTTGACCTCCAGACCTGCACACCTCTATTTTCTTTTGACGACATACCCTCTGCTATGTGCTGGTTCTGAATTTAAGTGTTGAGCCCAAGCTCATCCATGTTACTTTCCTGAATTTGCTTTACATACAGGCTCTTCTAGATCCTGTAGGAACTTGGTGATTCTAGCTTGTGTCTGTGGTCCTAATCTCACATCTAGGGATAGAAATCGGGAGGTTAACACCAAGGCATGTGGGTCATGACACTCAGCACTTAAGCCTCTGTGCTGCCTGTGGGTGTCTCAGCTCCCAGGCAGCGAAGCTGGAGGTGCAGCCAGTATGGTGGAATCCAGAGAGCCTCCCAGCTCACCCTGTAGCAGCACCCTGGAACACATGGGAATTTCTTTCTGGTTCCTATTCATTATATTGTCATATGATACAATTCAGCTAATTGAACATAGGTGTCTGATGGTATTTGGGCTGCCGGATAATGTCCTGCCATTCCAAAATGCTTGAGTCTCCAATACTTCCCCTGTCAAATCTGGCAGTCTTACGATAACTTAAATATCCTAAAGTAACTGGGAAACTGGACTGGGTCTACCGTGCCTTTTGCTTTTACCAGAAATGGTTTTATTTTACATTCCTTCTTCCTCAAGTGTATTCAAAGTTTATTCAGCAGATAAATTTTTCTTTTGGCTTGTAGTTAAGAATGAACCTAACTCAGGACATTGGTACCAGAGTGATCAAAGCTAAGAAAAATTCTTTACCTATGTTTCATCTGCACTGTACAAACATTCTTTTAAGGAGACTTAAAGTTCAATAACTAGTCAGTACTTGGTGTCTGAGCTGATATTTTGATCAGACTTAGCCTTTGCTCCTTAACAGAGACACAAGTCTCTCTGTTTATAAGCATAACGGTGTATGAAAACAGCATATTTTTGCAAGCAACTAATATTCAAGAACATTTTTTCTTTAAGCTTTATTGTATTTCAAAATAAGATTGGCCATTGACAATGGCAATGTTTTTTTTAATCAGCATTGGGCAAATTAGAGAAAAGATGGGGAATCATTCCCTACCACATAGCTTTTGCCTGGAAAGGACTAAATCTTTAAACTACCTTGCACTAAACATCTCTAGCTTGCTTCTTTGCTTTGGTAGCATATGTCTACAAAATTTGCAAGACAGTGAGACAGCAAGGTTGTCTTTGGTGACTGGATAGCTGTAATCCATGAATACGTCATAATTTTAGGTTTGTGTTGTGCCTACTTAAACAGATATAAATGGAAACAGGGCATTAAGAAAGAAGCTGAATGCTTCAGCCAGACTTGATAATGTATATAGTCATTTACTTATTATTTATTTATTCATTTATTTTAGATGGCAAGGAATTTGATGCATTTGTATCATATGCAAAACTAAACTCTTCTGAAAGTGACTCTGCTTTAATTAGTGAGGAAAAATTTGCCCTGGAGCTTCTTCCAGATATGCTAGAAAACAAATATGGATACAAGTTATGTATTCTTGAAAGAGATATTCTTCCAGGAGGAGGTAAGTTCCCTAGGCATGGTAGAAAATCTTCAGTTTTTATAAAATTGTGTTTCACTTAAAAAAAACCAAAACAACTTTATGCACCAGAGCAACAAATTGTATAATTAGGTAGTTGAATTTATGTTCAAATATCATAATGTTTTGATCTTTGTGTCTGGTCCCTACGCCTGATGCATACATACTTTGGAGTGAGGTCACTGTGAGCTACTAGGCTGAGACAAAGCTTCTTGTGCAAGAATTTCTTTGCAAGCAAACTCCTTTCCCTGGAAAGACTTCAAATATTTCAGTAGTTACTTTCTGAGCAACTTTAGCCAGTGCTACCTCAGTAATTTGAAAGCCCTGTGGGAGAGATGAAGACGAATCCAAGTGGCCCTTGAGACCCTGTTGAAGTGTGCTGAGGTCTCAGCTGTGCCCTTCACATCCTGAGCAGAAAGTTGCGTTCCTCAGTTGTATAAGAACAGCCATGGTACCCTCTGATAGCAAACTTATTTCTAGGTGTTGTATGATTAGTCAGCATTCTTATTGCCTTTCCTTATTTCTGGGTTTTAGCTGTTGATAAAAGAACTGGTAAGATAAAAACTCCTTTGCAGAATGCAGTAACTCTCACCATTTCCTCTCCAGCATACACAGATGAAGTTGTCAGTGCTATTAAACAAAGCAGACGGGTAATAATTATTTTGAGCCCAGCCTATGTCAGTGGACCAAGCATCTTTGAACTGCAGGCAGCGGTGAACTGTGCATTGGAAGACAAAGGCATCAAACTGGTATTAATAAAATTCCAGGATTTCAAAGAGCCAGAGGCTTTGCCTCCAGTACTGAAGAAAGCACTTCGGATTTTACCAATCATTACCTGGAAGTCTTCCATTTCTGCTGCTCCACACAAGAAGTTCTGGAAATACATGCGTTACCACATGCCAATGAAAACTACTAAGAGGCTGGAAAATTTCAGCCTCAAGGGCGTCTCCCAAAGGTTATTCAGACTGGTATAGATATTTCACAGGGAGAGGACATCAGGCTCAGGATTGGTAACGTGATTGTTAAAGATCTTTTCTGTATCATCTGACTGCTGCCAGCTGTCACTACAGCCAGCAATAACTCCCTCTGAAACAGTCAGAAGCACTGAAGTGTGACAGTGCCCAGGAAAACTGTGCCACTGCCTGCAACTGTAAATGTGAGCCATCTTTCATAAATTAATATTTTATTACCATTTTATTTATTATACCATTTTGCTCTGATTTTGAGACATACAAAGTTCTTTGCGCTGCATTCATTTCTGGAACATTTTAACACTTGTTTTCTAGAAAAATATTTTAAAAAGGGAACTTCAGAGGAAGCCTGCAGTTTAATTTTCTGATGCAGTCCAGTGGCACATACCCAAATTCTTCAAATGAGTTACCTCCTCCAATGGGAACGCCAAGAAAATACCATGAGAGGCTGCTATAGTTGGGTATGCCAAAGGGATTCAGAAAAGAAGGACCACTGTGTAGGCTTATCCCAGGCATCTCCATCCTTCCTTCAGTGAGGGGAAGAGTTCAACCACCTGTCAATCAGTTCACACTCAGGGACACCTGCATCTGATTGTAGTTGATCCTGTCTGCTGCTGGTCACTCAATGCCCACTGAACCTGTTGGCATTATGGGTGTGTTGCAGGTGTAAATCTAAGCCCTGATTGGCACAGCTGGTAGACTTCCAGGGACTCTAAATCTTTCCCTTGCAGTCCTCTGGCTGCCAACTCTCCAGAGCTCATACCACTTATTCTCAAACCATCTTGCAGTTTGTCTGTAGCTGAGTGAAATGCAATGGTCAGTGTTGAGCAATCTGAGAGGTATAGCCTCTTCTCTGTTGTTCTGATTATTTCATTTGGCCTTCAAGTGAACAAATCCTTGTTTTATAATGCTACCTGAATATCTCATCTGCCAGATTTCCTGTTGGAAAGGGATCCCAAGAAATACTACTGTTAACTGGATCAGTACACTGGAAAAAAGAACTCTTTTGCAAGCAGGCTGAGCTTTATCTACCTAATGCTATACTGGGTTCCAAGTTTTGGTGGGAGGACTGATGGTGCTGTGAGGCTGACAGAAGATAGTACTTTGTGTAGAAGCAGAACATCAAAGGGCATCACTGACTGTACTGTGGAGTTTTAACTTCTTTTTTTTTAGGGTCAGGATTAAATGCATGAGGCGATATTTTTTTGTTTGGATTCAGATGTTTATTAATTTTTATTTATATTGCAGGCACATAAACTGTGAGTTTTACAGTACTTCAATAAACTAAAAAATGGAGCCTCAAGTGAAAGTATTTCTCACTTTACAAGGTTTTTTAAGGATAAACTGTCTAATTAAGAAAAGATACTTAAATTATTTTTAATTTTAACTAAATAACGAACTACTTGTGGCTCATAATGCAAACTTTTTAATTTGATTGCACAATACCACCCAGACCCATGAAGAAGAAGGTGAAGAAGAAGGATTAGTTTCTGCTCTAAAATTTTATTTTGTTTTATATACATTATTCTAAAACTTTAAACTCTAAGTTTTCTATTATGTGATATTACACACTTCTAGTCAAATTGCACACTTATCATTTTAGTTCTATCATTTAATTTTGGAAGCTTTCTCTACGACATCAGGTTAAATGTACTGTTCTTTTGGAGGTCAATGTCTCAGCACAGAAAGTCCAAAATTCTCAGTGACTAGAGTTCAAACACTGCACTACTGAGAATTTTGACACTGCAGTTGTACCTGTATTGGTGATTTGGTTGAGATAATTTTGAGATAATAAAAATTTGCATTTTGATGCAAATTTCTCACTTGTCACCATTGAGAATTTTGACACTGCAGTTGCACCTGTATTGGCGATTTGGTTGAGATAATTTTGAGATAATCAAAATTTGCATTTTGATGCAAATTTCCCACTTGTCACCACATGTCACCTTTTGCTTTGCATTATAGACCATTACAGTGGCACACACTGGATCCCTTCCTCAGAAAGTCAAGTGGAAGATATGCTCCACCCATGAAGGGACATACAGTCTGTGGGGCCAGTTGGTTTGAAGGAATCCCCTCCCAAGCACATGCAGAGTGGTTTCAGGGTCCTCAGAACTAGCTGTTCTGGGGTATCACAACTGTTCTCATCACCTGCCCTATCTGCACTGTCTTCTAACGCAGTCAAATCAATGAATAATTTGAATAATTTGTCAGTAAATTAAATACACTCAGTTCTAAGATAAGTAATACAGGTTTTAGATGCTTCTAATCAACAGCACTATGTTTGCACACCCTGTTATCCTGACACATGACACTAAACATGGTAGTTTACTGGTATGAGTAAAACAAATGCCAAATACAAGACAACTCAAGATCTAGTTTCAGGCAGGCGGTGTGACTCAGCCCTTCCTCTTTATGTTGCTATTACCTGCTAAATTACATACACGTGTTTAAGAGAGGGAGCCCCTTATCAAGCGAGGCTGTCGTTTGCACGGTCCCCCACCAGATGTCCCTCCCGCCAGCCCTGCCTGGTCCCTTTATTGACACACTGAGTAGTTTTGTTACCAGGTGTGACAGGACCAGGGAGTCGTGCCAAGTGTGGTGCCCGGGGTGCCACTTGCGCTGGGGAGGCAGATGGGGAGCGAGGGCAAGAGAGGAAGGCACGGAGCAGCCTCTCCTCTCTCCTGCCTGCCCAGGCTGCCTCCACCTCTCCCCGCCGATGCAATTCCCTTGTGCTGCGCTTGCTGCCTGAACGGTGAGCATTGAAAATTTGTGTGGTTTGGTGGTTTTTTTTTTTTTTTTTTGGGGGGTTTGGTTTTGGCTTTTTTTTTTTTTTTGGTGGTTTTTTTTTGTTTGTTTGTTTGTTTTTTTATGACAGTGTCAAAATCAGAGAAGCTGTATAAATTACATAGATGGAAAAGTCCTTTTATTCCTCAACAGGGTAATGCTGTGGCTAAGGTTTTTCTGGGTCAGTGGAACCTGCACAACCGGTATCTTCATACAAACTCCAGGGCTGTCTGCAGCACAAGGAAGGGGGCAAGCACATAAGGACTATAAAATGACCTCTAACAGGCAAGTGAAAGAGCCCTGAGGAGGAAGAAGTGGCTGTGGACAATGTAAATCAGCAGAAGTGAAGAAGTGACTGTACACACCTTCATGCACCCACGATATGCTAGATCTGTAATAAAATGGTCACAGTCCCAGACATGGGCTTTGCCACGCTTGCACATGCAAAGCTTTCCAACATGCTGCTGCTGCTGTTGTGCCTGGTATCCTGTGCTGCTGCTGCTTATGGGGGTGAGCCCAGCCTGGGAAAGAGGTCCTTGCATCACTATGAACATGATTCCAGTAGCGCTGTTGATTCTTCTCAAGACATGAGGCTACATGTTTTCACACTGGACTATGACTATGTGCAAATTCCCTATGAAGTTACTCTTTGGATCCTCCTTGCCTCTTTTGCAAAAATAGGTAAGTAGAAAATGGGATCTTAGGTCCTCCAGACTTGGAAAGATGTTAAAAAACTATGATGTAACCAATGTATTCATTCATTCATTCATTCATTTTGTAGCTGGGATTGATTTTACTGTGTCCTCAAAAGAACAGGTGTGTTCATTACCACGGCAATGCCAAAATTCCACCTTAGAATGATTCCATCTTGCTTAAGTTAACATATGACCTCTAACCTTCAGGTCTCCTGGGCTGTGAGTAGCAAATAGCAACAGAGCTCCCTAACACAGTGCTGTCCACTCATTTTTCTAGTCCTTATAGATCACACAGCTGTAGAAATCAGTTACACCAGGCTGAGACTTCAAGTGTATTGAATTTTGGGGAGAAACTGTAAAGCATTCTTCCTTTGTATGAATAAAAGAAAACATTTCCCTCTGAGTCTTTGTTTTACATATTTGCTGCTAAAAGTTGGTGTGAAAAGTAATACCGGGGAGAGAGAATGAGAGTCTCTGAGGGTGTGGCTCATCAGGGATGTAGTCTAAGTATCTTTTGAATACAGAGCAATGTATCTGGTTTCTATTAGAGCTCCATGTGAGTATCTGAAAGGGGAAAGGTAACTCAGGGGGCAGTATTTGCCGTAGGAACCGTAATTAATATAGCAAAAAAGGCTCATTATGTCTTAAACATTTTCATGGCTGGACTGAAATTATTTTGACCATTTAGAATTAATGCAGCAATATCAAATGAAGAAGATGGTAATAATTCAACGAGTTTCAAACATAAAATATCCCTTTTCTTTTGATATTTTTGTGGGATTTTCAAACTTCTCCTTAGAATGAGCTGCAGGTGAGACTGATGGTTTTCTGGAGGTGACCTGAAGATAAACAGTTTTCCTGTCCTAGCTGGATTTACCCAGCTGACAAAAATCATTACCACCATCCATGATTTGCCAGTTTCATTGTAGCTGATGCCCTTAATCCGATTCCTACAAATGTCTTCATGGGTAACATAACAGTTAAAATTTTCACAAATAAAACTTGTGGCATCAGCAAAGTGTGTTGATATCAAACATATTGACCAAATTCCTTATTTATCATCCATAAAAGCACAGGAATTGACATATGGTACATCTACATAATATTCTTGTTTTGAACATGAAATAGATACTTTAGAAGAACTGTGTGATGCCTCCCAGGCGGATATGTTACTTTTACCATTTTCAAATAACATTATTTTTGATGAGCTGTTAATTTTAAATATATTTGGAAGAAAGAGTTAGTCTGAATAATCTGGTTACCCAGGGAAGAAGTTTTCCAAACTGTTAAACTTTACAGTGTTTTGTTCAAGTATTATCTTCTTTCTGGACTTCAGTATTTAAGGCTGGGAAACAGTTCCAAGATCTTGAAAGGCAAAACAATCCCCTTATCTGTAAAACTGGAAGAAGAGTTGAAAATTATTTTTTAAATTAAAAAGAAAATGAGAAGAGTTATGATATAAACATACCTCTTGGTAAAAAAATGTAGTGTCCTAAAAAAATTATTGAAACTGTCATAAAAATATTATGTTCCTTTGCTTTTGAAGACTGATAATTCAAGGGTCATAGAAATAGTGTCATGGCAGAACCTTCTAGAGTTGCAAGATGAAGACTGATCTAGCTTCAAGCATGGAGTCACAGACATTAGATTTAAAGATTTCTTAGTCTGCCTCAGTCTCATTCTTGTAAATTTTAAAACATCGTGACATTTTCAGTGCAGGCACATCTCATTTGCAGTAGGATGACACAGTTCCTTGTATAGTGACTAGACAAGCCATTAGCGGGTGGGCAGTAAGGATTCTTGGAGAATATTTTCTTTTCAAATTGTAGAGGATCATTTCAAAGAGGTTTCTTCCTTCCCAGAACTGGAGCTTAAACTCAGATATGCTTGCTTGGAAATCAGGAGCTGGGCAACAGGAAGAGAAGAAATTCATGGTCAAACTCTTGCCCTGCTTTAGTGATACAAGTGTGGGAATGTTTAGTTTTGAAAGGAACAGTACTGACTGTTTTTACCTTCATAATCCTTAGAGCAAAAGCTGGCTGTCTGAAGAGAGTGTCCAAACACAGGCAAGACAATTGTCTGACATCAGGTTAATTTAAACTTGAATAATCCCTTAATGTTTTATTCAAGGTTTCCATATCTTCCACCGATTACCAAGACTTATGCCTGAAAGCTGCATCCTGATTGCCATTGGAGCACTCGTAGGAGCAATCATCTTTGCTTCCCATCACAAATCTCCACCAGTGATGAACAGTAGTATTTACTTCTTGTACCTCCTTCCACCCATTATTCTGGAGGAGGGTTATTTCATGCCAACTCGACCATTTTTTGAAAACTTTGGATCCATTCTGTGGTGGTCTGTTCTGGGATCTCTGCTAAACTCATTTGGGATCGGCCTCTCCCTCTATGGAGTCTGCCAGATCGAAGCCTTCGGCCTGACTGACCTGAACCTGCTGCAGAACTTGCTCTTTGGCAGCATGATTTCAGCAGTGGACCCTGTGGCCGCTCTGGTGGTTTTTGAAGAAGCCTCTGTTAATGAGCAGCTTTACATGATGATCTTTGGAGAGTCATTGCTAAATGATGGCATAACTGTGGTGAGTTTCTTTCTGCTCCTTGTCTTCTCCTTTTTGGACTCTTTTGGCTTGTAGGGTTCCTGGGCACAGGACAAGAACAGCTCAAAGATGAATCTAATATGTTATTTATTTTATGAATACTCCACTCAATAACACACAAGGGATTTTAATGTATGCAAAAAATGCATCTTATATTACCCCTTTCCAAAGCATGTCGAGCTGCTGGAAGAGGAAAACATACACGTACATGTGAGATGTGCTCTTGCATTCGCTAAAGTGGATGCATAAGCTACAGCTGATGTTTCTGGTCAGGTCAGTGTAGGACCTTGGAATGTTCTTGACATTGTGCAAGCAAATAAATAGAAAATTGTACTGCTTAAAGACTGAGGGCAGCAAAGATAGAAATACAGGAGATCCTACTTTGTCTTATACATGAATGAGTCTTCTGGGAAAAAAAAAAGGCAAACCATATGTGGATAACCTCTGGAGGCCACACTTTGTCCTCCAGCCTCTTCCAGAAATTTCACCAGAGACGTTAGACAGGAATTCCAAATGCCACTAAGAACTTTGCATAACTCTGTTTCTAGCAGTAAAAATATTGACATCTGACAAATGTTTATCATTTTTGGCTGTCTTGTCATAAATATCCAGAAGCAATGTTTCCTGAATAAGAGAGCTTTGTTTGGTTGGTTGTGTTTTTGTTGTTGCTCTTGTTTGTTGTTGTTGACTTTTTGTTTTTAATAGGAGAAGAGTGTTTTTACAAAGCTCCTTTTGCTAATATTTTCCCCCTTATCTCATTAGTTCTGCTAAAATTGGAGCAACCTGAAATTCTAGCTGTTAGCAGAAGTGACAAGAGCATTTAAAACACATGTTTTTCAAGGAAGAAATTTCAAACAGGAAGTTTATTGCTCAGAAACCAACAGGATTGCTCATGTGGTACAAGTTAACAGCAGGTTAAGGAGTTTCACTAGATAAGATCTTCACAGAATTTAAATCACAGGAATCTAAAACACACAAAAACTATTCAGATACTGCTATGCATGAAGTACAGCCCAACTCAGACTTGTAAAATCAGTACAGAGTTCACTGCTGAAAGGCTTCATGGGAGAAGTGTAGTTTATGAGCACTGAGGAATGAAAAAGAAACAAAATAACTTTTTGCAGGGACAGCCTGTGGATGATAAATCCTTCCTCTTAGTGATCAGAGACATAGTGCTGATGTACAACTAAGGGACATGTGTTTTTTAATTTACTTCCAAACTACTTGGGTGCTACAGTTGTAACAGAAAAATCCCCAATGCATCTATATCTTACACTTTTCTTTTTGGTTTCTTCAAATACTGACCTCAAAAATGTAGCACCTCTTTTTCACACTGGAAGAGCTTGTTTCATGGTTTTTTTGATGGACTCATTACCCATTGCCTTTGCCTTTCTCCCAGCTGTTTATCATGTGAGTCCAACTCCTGATGCTATTTACCTGAGCTTTCAATCAGGATCCTGTTACAGTGCAAATGTGCAGTGACAGAAAGCCTGTTAAAACAGTGGATTTAGGCACTCCTCAGCAGCACTGGGTGTGGTAGTAAAGGAGATGAACATGGGGTATGTTGGGTGCACCACTGAGAGCTTCCATTGCCCCACACGCTCTCATCTTTTGGGCTCATCTCAGAGCAGCTGCACTGCCATCACTTTGGTATCTCCTGCTATTGCATCTCTGCATCAGCCACCATTCATCCTCTTTTGAAAGCATTTGAGCTTTCAAAATCTCTACTTGGCTTCATGCTCAAGAAGACTGAAATATTTGTCACTTGAATGGAGTCCAGTAGGTGACTGTCTCCTCCCTGGTATCCCACTTACTTTTTTCCAAGACTTTAAAACTAGTTATCTCCGGTATCTTCTCTTACCTTTTCCTTCTTTTTCTCTCTTAACAGTTTCATTTGAATTAACTCTGTTTAAAAAAGATAATATCACCAAGATATATTAAGCATACATTTTTTTTATTGTTTAAATACAAATATCTCCTGGTACTCTCCAGCCTGCTTATCAGCTTGAACATTTTTTTCACCAGCAGGAAAAACTGGTATGATTTTTGTTGAACTTGTGTATTACATATGGGGCAACAACAGCTCTGTCTCCTATATTTTAGTTCAATATACTGGTATATTAAAAATATTACATAATAACAGACTGTAGAATTAGAATTATAATATAGAAGTTATGACTTTGCCTTAAGGGGGTGGGAGAAAAGTAGATTTACTTGTTTTACCTATTGTTACCTTTCTTTTTTTCCTCAGTAGGGCCATGTCTGTGAATGGAAAAAAGAAGGTTCTAAGTCCTGTTAATTACTTCTTTCCCAGTTATTTCTGAGTGGGCTGTTTGCATCAGAATAGTTCAGACAGCAACAGAGCTAGACCTAGGATGCATCACACATTAGTGGAATTTCAAAGCCCTGTTCAAATCCAGTGCAGATTTTATTCAATACTAAACTCAGGTGGAATACACTGATTTTTAGGTGAAGTGTTTCACCCATCTAAAGCTCTGCTCCCACATATACATAGACAATTTTGTTTCTAAATAGGAGCTGAGCCACCGGTATGAATCAGGAAATAGAATATTCCCTGACTGCTTCATCTCTGAGACTTGGTTTTAGAAATACTGAGAACACCTGTATGTCATGCTGTACTCAAAATGAGTGGCACTGGCTGTAGTCTCTAATGGAGCTCTCTCTTCTTTGTAAACAGCAGAACAGTTAAATCTAATACATGTTGAAGACCTAAGTACAATTACTTTTTTTTTATTTGAGGAGATTTGAAATTGACTCTTTGATGTTGAGA